AACTTTGCGTAATCTGCCGCTTTAACCGATTGATCTATCCTACGTAGGCTCACGGATAATTTACGCAGGCCAATAGGTGGGGAAGTTTTGTTGTATCGGAGAGTGCATTACATAATATATCCTATCAACTATGGTCAAGGTCCATGCTCAACTGTGAACTGTTTACAGGCTTATAGGACGAGCACAGTATAAGTTATGCCTATGTTGTGTTATTTGTAATGATGGAAACGCTCTGATTATGATATATCAGTTGAATGTATTTTTAAATACTATTCTTAGATTTGCACTGTTCAGAATACGCGTGCCTACCAATATGATAAACAACTCACATGTGACACGTTGCATCTACGTGTGACAAGTGTGCCTAATATATTTACATTACATGGAATTACGATATCTTTGCCAAGAGAATAAAAAAGAGTGTAGGCTCATAAAGGTTAACTATATTATGCACAATATATGTGTTGTTTTATGTAATATTTATGTATACTGTATACCCTTGATAGGCTGTAATGAATCAATGAATAAATCTATCAACAAACAAAAACTTTACCTAGCCCAATAAGCATATAGAAATGTTACTTAACTTTAAGTTATTACTCAAGAAGAAATAGTTTGCACAACATCATGTAACGACGCTTTTGTTTCTCCAGTACAAACAGTACAAGGTAGTGACCTCATTGAAACTGTATACTTTCTGAAACCATTGTCTTTTTGTATTCTAGATTCTAGCCTGTATTTGTTGATACCTTCTTGTTTTACGTTTCAAGTTATTCGTTAAGGTTGTCAACAAATTCAAATTCAAATTTAAATTCCTTCATTTGCCATAAATAGGGTAAATATTATATTTGTACAGTAAAAATAAGTTGCATAAAGATCTATTTAACCATGAGATACAGCATGCAAACTTTTCAAAATTTGCATGCTGTATCTCATAAATCGTAAGTTTATACATTTAACAAATTTTTGTATCTACCTGGATGTTATAGTTTTTATTTTAGCTTGAAAAGATTCTAAATATTATTTGTTAAGAAATGTTGTAAAAGATCTTACCTATTAGGTATTAGGTGGCACAGTTTATACGAGTACTAGTAAGGCTGCCGACGTTAACCTCTCAATGTAATTGATGGTACTTTTTATTTAAATAGTGTAAGTCACGATGTAAAATTTGTGGAGTGAATTAACAAAAATATTATTATTATTATTATTAAAGAAGTACCCATTTAAAACATTCACATCTTCGACAAGTCCAGCAAAAAAGCGGCACGGCCGTACCCTCCTTTTCTCGAAGCAGTTCAGGTCATTGCTTAAGCTTTGAAACCCTATATCTTCGTTGTGGATAAAACTAGAAGCCTGAATTTTCAGTAACCAAGTAGGCATTGTATAAACTCAGTATATTTCAAATTTCCTTAAATTTGAACCAGTATGTAGTTTAAGAATTATAGTATATACTAATCAAAGTTTCTTAATTTTGTCACTCACTCACTGACCGATCATCAAAACCATGAAGCTAATACAAAGAAAATATTTGCTTCATGGATCCATGTAAATACCAAGTCGGTTAATTTATTCAGTGCCTACTTAAGGGTCCTTGTGTCTTAAGTTATTACGTAATTAGCTAACCTAACAACATCTTATAGTGACCATATCAATATTATAAATCTTTTATGTTTTAAATAAATAAATTAACTTGGCACTCGCACTAATAAACAATCTAATTTAATATAATACATAGGCTGCACTAAAAGTATCGGGAATGGAATATTTCCACTGTTCCTGTCATATTAAAATCTTTTTAATTGTGTAGTCCTTGGTTTTAAAAATCGAATACCATTTATTTATTTAAAAAAAAGATTCTGGGTCTTGTCACAAGTTTTGTCAAACTTGTTTAGTCGTTGAGAAAATTGAATTGACTCGAGAAAATTCAAGAGCGATGATTTATTATGACTCGAAGTGGTTTAACACACAAACAGTGTGTTGACTGGATGATTTCTGCATTTGGTGATGAAGCCCCATCCAAAACCACAATTTATCGCTGGTTTGCTGAATTTCAACGTGGACGTGTCAAGCTCAGTGATGATCCCCGTCAAGGTCGTCCAAAAACTGCAGTCACCCAAGAAAACGTTGATGCTGTGCGTAAGCTGATTGAGGAAGATAGACATGTGACATACCGCGAAATTCAGGCAACTTTAGACATCAGCATAAGTTAAATACAAATAATCTTGCATGAACAATTAGGTGTAAAAAAGTTGTTTTCCCGATGGATACCGCATTCGCTCTGTAAAGAGCAAAAAGCGGCTCGCGTTACTTGGTGCGTCAGAACTCTCGAAAGATTCCACGCATGATCCTCAAATGCTGTATACAACATCGTATCAGGTGACGAATCCTGGATATCCGCGTACGAACCCGAAACAAAAAACCAGTCACGAGTTTGGGTGTTCGAAAATGAGTTAAAGCCAACAAAAATTGTTCGTTCACGGAGTGTTGCAAAAAAAATGGTGGCCACGTTTGTCTCCAAAACCGGCTATGTTACGACTATTCCTCTTGAGGGACAAAGAACGGTTAATGCAGAATGGTATGCTAGCATTTGTTTGCCACAGGTCGTTTCTGAATTCCGTAAAGAGAACTGCAACCGCCGCATCATCCTCCATCACGACAATGCGAGTTCTCACACCGCACACAGAACAAAAGAGTTTTTAGAGCAAGAAAACATAGAACTATTAGACCATCTGCCGTACAGCCCCGACCTAAGCCCTAATGATTTCTATACTTTCCTTAAAATAAAGAATAAATTGCGTGGACAGAGATTTTCATCACCCGAAGAAGTTGTGGACGCCTATACAAAACGGCCATTTTGGAGACCCCAACTTCCGAATAGAATGGTTGCTTCAATGATTGGTTCCATCGTATGGAAAAATGTGTCAAATTTCGCGAACAATACTTAGAAAAGCAATAAATACATTTTTAAATGTTGTGTCACTTCCTTGATTCCCGAAATTTTCTGTGCTCGTATGTATTACTTGAGAGATACGAGTACATTGTGTTTTCATGCGATGGCCAACTCAATCTATTAATTTAAAATATAAAATATTATATAATTATAATAATAATATAATATTATATGCTATTAATTATTATATATTATATATAAAATATTTTTAATATTGATGTGGTCACTAGGTGTTAGGTTAGCTAATTACGTAATAACTTATGACAGAAGGACCCTTAAGTAGGCACTGAATAAATTAACTGAATTAGTATTACATGGATCTCACAACTTTTTACGGTGGAAGAACTGAGTTGCGAGACTTGGTTTTTTTTACAAGATATGTTTTTGACGGCATAAATGACTTTCTAGCAATGTTGTGCATATCCCACGTTGACAACGCCTTTAAACATCATAAATTCTTCAATTGTTGTTTAGTGATTCTTATTATTATATATTCTTATTATTCATTTCAATTTATTTATATGAGATTTTATTATACCCATTTCATCACTTAGTAAACAACATTAATTATTTTTGTAACTACGCACAAAGCATGCATTCCATCCAACCTGTTATAAAGTGACCCAAAATAAATTCGTAGCGCTCAGTTTATTTATGGTAAAGAATCGCGCCTTCCTTGTTTCTTATAGCGTGAATGACTTCATCAAATGTCTCTTTTGTTTAAGTTTATTTATTCACTATGAAAATTTTACGTCTTTAGCTAAAATGTTTTCACTAAAAGTGGAACAATTAAGAATAGTACTGTTATAAGAATTTCTGTTATGTAATCGTATAAACGTGGTGGTTTCAGGTAGAGTAACTACAATTTTATTATATTTTCTTAATGCTTCTCTGTATTAATTAGTTTTGGTGAAGCTGGTTTGAACTAGATTTGGAGAGGGTGTAGAATAAATGTAACTACTGTATACCTTTGTACACCTATCATGAAATAAGTGAACCTATTATATTGTGTCGTCAGTATAGCATGAACCTATTCCATACTGACATACTGTTGTCATCTACTGTCTGTTAGTAGCGTTGTGGTACTTAAAATCTTCTTAAATTTTTCAATGGGACCTGAAATAATAATATTGGGCTACTTTTTATTAAACTAAACTCTGATAAGATTAACTGCTACCATTGGAAGTTAAAAAAATCCAAAAGATTAGATATCAGAAAATGGCGTGTGATGGTAGCGTTTTATTCTTTCCGAGGGTGTCATGAGAGACAATCGTAAAAATGGCAGAAAGATTTCGTAGACTTCGATAGACCGCGGCATAAATATCACGTTTACACAAACATAAAATACCCAGATCTTTATTCTGTGCCAGAACGTTCGTGGGCAGAAGTTTCAAAGTTGTGAAATGTATGGTATTGCGATCTCTAATTTGTTTCTCAATTCTGGTAATTATGGTAAATTTTCCCTACAACGGAGGAAACTCATAGTGGACTTTGCGGGGCTGATCAAGGAGTTATTGTTAGTTATATATCTAAAAATATTATACGTAAGTACAAATACTAAAAAGTATTAGTTACTCTATAGTGTGAATATAAATAATGTCGTAATGGGATGCAAATTTTACGATGCCAATTACTATCGTAAATAGTAAGTATTTTGTTGTATTACGTGACATGTTAACATCACAGTCTTATCGTTGTTCTAGTCAATTTTGTAGTTACAGGCTACTTAAATTTTTTTATAAAACGTTACCTACCTATACCCATAACTAGAGTAAGTTTTTCTCCGGTATCGTGGAGGCCATTTACATTTATAAATTGCAGAAGCACAAACATACAGACTCGGTACAATCATTTGTAGGCCATACAAAATAAGTGCTCTGTGCGTGATTAGAACCCGTGGCCCAAGCTCCGCAACTCAATTCTAAGCGACTATGGCAGTAGAACAATCATATTGACATATTATTGTTATACTTACTATTCATTTATCTATATTTAATCTAACCATTGTTAGTTATATAATGGTCGTGCTAAACAGGCCTATGTTGTACAGGAGTCGTGCGGGAGCGTCCTTGGATGACCGCTTCACTACGTCAGAGGACGCGGGCGGCATCCGCTTGACCGTCTCCGCTGCTCAGACTGGTGACAGCGGCGTTTACACGTTGCAAGTGAGTCCCTTGAAACAATAATATGTATATGCATGTACATACTACATATATACATTAATTGAAACAACAATATAACACATAATACCTATTAACTTTCGCAGTCTACAATTCTGTATTAAATATTATTTTTACTATATTATCTATATGTTAGTAGAGTTTTTGTATTTGTATCATTGAGCAATTGCTTCATGGTAACTTTAACCGGGAAATTAAAAAAATTAGTTCCATTCGATTAATAATCAACCAATGAACAGTTTTCTAGCTTCTATTGTCTTTACACTCTTCTAATATAGATGACCTTTTGCTTCTCTTTATGAAGGCCAGCAATGCTGCCGGGAAGGATTCACGCCGCCTGCGACTGGAAGTGTCTGCGGAGGAGACGCCAAGTGGCGATGATCCACCGACGTTTCTGCGGCGCTTACAGGACCTCACTGTCAAAGTTGGCACTCGGACACGTTTCCTGGTTGAAATCGTCAGTTCTACTGAGTGCAAGGTTAGAAATTTTACCTATGAATTATCCAAGTGGGATGTACTTTGTGGGATACTCCTGCACTTTGCCCGATTTGCTAAGTACTCTGTCGATCGATTAATTACATTTCTAACTGCAATGTAAGAGTTGTTTCATAAATGTCACACGTGATAAAACGGTCCGTGATAATACATAGTCGAAATAGAATATCATAGAAATAAAATTAATGTCTGTCGGTACTTAAAATCACACTATTTCTAATATTTCGTTACATGTGGGCTACTCAGAAAGTTTTGCTAAATTAAAAAAAATTAATGATTAAGGTTTTTATTATTAAATCCTTTTAAATAACTTACCAGCGTCGTACAAAGTTTCATGTGTCGTAACCTTATGCCATTTAAATGGTCTAAGGTCGTAACCAATTTAAGAAATATTTTCCCCAGTCCGTTAAGACTTCTTATCTACGGCCTGTTTGTTCGTTTGTTGCTAGCTCAATTTCCGGCAATGAAGACTTTGCACTTTTGCACATTGTATGCTTTTCAGCTGATTTTTTTGAGTGAATATAAAGAAGTCATACGGCGTGAAACCAGTAAAGAGGGTGACCCAAAAGCTTAACCGGTGTTTTGTCCAGGAAGTCCCTTTTTTTGAGCGCGTTGAAGCAGTAGCCGGCGGTGTCTCTGGCACCCAACGCAAAATTTTCTTCTTGACGAGAAGGTGTTCGTTTAAAAACTCGTGAACGATTTCCGATCCAGCCTACAATATTATATTATGCTGTTAATACGAAATTCTCCTATTCACTCAAATTAAATTTCTTCAGGCGTCAAATAGCTACCTCTTCTTTTTTCATCTCTAACGAGTAGTCAATTATCCTGATATTGCTTATATATTTGAAGGGTCTTTATCCATTATTGAAAGTCTTATCAAACGATTCGTCCGATTTAAGGTGACATTTAAAATCGTAAAAATCATTTCTGAATGATAAGATACTAGTCATTTATCATATAAACTTTATAGAACTTTAGCTCGTAAAAATTGGAGGGAAATATGAAATTGGAGCATTCGTAAATTTTTATTTCTTATTTGCAATCGTATATATTCAAGTATTGTTGTTTGTGCATATTGTTGGAAATTGCATGCACTCGAATTATTTAATTCCTGAGACGTGCAGGTTTCCTTACGATGTTTTCCTTCAACGCCAAGCACGCAGTAAATTAACATTAAAAATTGCAAGAAACAACTTCATTGGTGCCGACAGGCATCGAGTCTGGATTGCATATTAGGCAAGGAAAACTCTGTACTAGTACCGTAATGGCAATGGCGAAATAAAATTATATTATAACATTGTAATGATTAATAAATATAAATGTTATTGTTATTTCAAACATATGTTTTTACTAGAACACTACGAACTAGGTGTCTTTGAACTCAGAGCAATAAAGAAGCATAGAAATTGATTTAAAATTGCAACAGAATACATTCACGTATATTCAATGAGCTTATACTGGTTTTACTAACGAATCCGGCAGTGTATTGAAAAGAGATATGTCACTTATTTTTCGTAATTTCGAAGGTTGTCACAAGCATTTTCGACATTTCATTTGAGGTGGTGCAGTAGCTGCCGACTTTAATATCGATATCAATTATTATTGTAAAAACAACGTAGTTTTTCTTTTCTCACTTAACTTTAAAAAAAGGATTTTAAAATGATGACTTACTTTAAATTTAAAGAGCTTTCTTACTCCTCATTGATTTCGCGACTATGTCCATTTTGTATACGTCGGTACCAGTATAAATTTGAAATAGGTAGCAGCAACACAATTACACACGTTGGTCAGTTGCCAGAACATATACAGCTTCTTTGGTTCTCAGTTTAGCGTAAAATACTTTGTATTATGCCGAAATTTAGAGGATTTACTTGAAGCGTGTCATGTTATACAGTTTTTACGTCGTATTGACTAGCATTAATTATACAATTACGTTCAATTGATTAAAAAAGCTAATAAAAATGTGGGAAACATTCGGTTTATAAATAATAAATATTTATGAAATTATGCTTAGCTCTTCCAGTAGGGACAACTAGTAGGGATAAGTGTAACAGAAGAACTACTCTTAATAACAGTTTAGCTGGCATATCTTGGTTGCACCGAAGTTGGCCGTTCGACTGCGAAATAGACTATAAAACATAACCTGAACATAGAATTATTACTGGGTAATAATTCTATGAACCTGAAGAATTGCGCGTTCAAACAGCTACTTTCAGGACGGCTAAGAGATGTTCGACGAATTACAATCATATTCGTCTTAAAATAGAGATCTTTTATTAACCTAGTATTTGTATAAAGAAAGAGTTTGAGAGAGCTATCATACATTTATACAAAATTGGTTAATCTTCAAATAAAGCACCACACGTATTGCTACTAATTTCGCAGAAAATTATATTAAAACTACTTTATGTTACATATTATTTTTTAAAACGCCTCTGACCAGTATACTCGTTTTAGTTAGAAAATTATTGTTGCGAAGGCATCATTTGGATATATTTTTGTTTTTGCATTTTTTTTCTGCCGACTTCCAAAAAGGAGACGGTACTCAATTCGACTGTATGTTTTGTTTTTTTTTGTTTTATTTTTATGTGTGTTACCTCATAACTTTTTACTGGGTTAACCGATTTCGATCATTCTTTTTTTATTTGAAAGCTGGTACTTCTCGTGTGGTCCCATATGATCAAGGTCAGACGAATAGTATTTGAGTTATTTTTTAAAAACTTATATTGAAGTCGGCTGTACAAAATTTTTAATTTTAGATTATTGTCAAGTAATTCTCAGTAACCGGAAATATGCCGAGTAGAGGATAATATACTCGCCCACTCTTACTTTAGAACTTAAACATATGTAGTAAGCGAAATGTGGGTATATGTAATTCACCTCTGCCTTCGCCTTCAGGTAAATACATAAACTTGTTAATTTATTAAACTTGTTAATATATTATTCCCTAATGAGAGTCAGAGGGTACGGCAACATCATCAGAACTAACATACATAGCAGTTCCTTGAATCAGTAAAACTGTGTTATGCATTTCTTCGCAGACATCCATAGGTACTTCCCCTAACGTTTATTAAATTATTAGTTTTAATGTGAACGACTTAAATTTGATTTTTCATTGCAATAAACAGTATCTACGCATCAATTGCAAACGTTAATCCTATCATGTTTAAATAATGTAGGAACTGCATCTTTTCTAAATCTTTCCCATTTCATATTGTGCCTAAATACAAATTAATCTAAAATGTTCAGCAAATATGACTACACCTTTGGAGTCCAATTTTCTACACTAATACGATTTAGCCACTCATTTTTTACTCCGTCTTTAGGAAATCTGCAAAATATAGGTATCGCCAATATTATACGTCACTATGCATGATTACCATTTAGATGATAAAAAAATCACTAAATTCTGTATTAAAATAAACATAACCACCGGTTTCCGCTACATAATATTTCAGTAAAATTTATTTTCTAATTATATTAGGTTATCAGCTCACGTTTAAATTTATTGCCTTAGATTAAAATCTACTGCTGTAGATTTAACACATAAAATAACAAAAAGTTTCCGGTGGAAAGGCAATAGATGTTGATTATTTTGTTTTCGTGATGAATGGAACTTGTGTAGCCTCATACGAAATACCACAGAGACCACAGACTCGCTATTTGTAGTAATCCACAAAATCGTGCAACATACGAGTATAATCATAATAAACACATTTTTTAATAGAATACGAGTAACAAACCAACTCAAAGTACACCTGATGGTAAGTAGATGATATCTACATCAATCCTTAATTAAGTATCACAGTGCAGATGCGTTGTCAACCATGAGTTCTAAGACTTTACTTCTATGGTTTAGTAATTGTTCTGAGTCATTGCACGTGTGCCGGTATTGTTACCTGACGGCCACCCGCACTAAATGTATTGCCATGTAAGTCTCCCTATTTTATAAATTTTTTGTGGTCCAATTTTCTCTTTCATTTTGAGGAAAGGATTACATGTATACAATTATTTCACGATATCTAGATGTACCCTCACTGATAGGACGGGTCTTTCTACACATTGGTTATGTATGATACTGCCTTGCTGGTTGGTTGATACTGCCTTGCTAGTTGATACTGCCTTGACTGCCTCGTTGTTCCAGTGGTCGTAAAAGCGATTGCTGAACATGAGGTCTCTGGTTTGAATCCCGGGTCGGGTCAAAGTCAGCTATTGGGTATTTGTGTCCAGAAATAATTCTCAGAAGCAGCCCGGAGTCAGAAAGTTGGCGGTGTTTCACCCCCGCGCCTCGGAATGCACGTAAAACTGTTTGTCCTGCGCCTGATCTCTCCCTCTGATTGTGTCGGATTACCGTCTCATCGGACTATAGAATGAGGGAATAGTGTACACCTATGTTTATGACGGAGCACTCGAGCACTATAATCTTGTTCTGCGCAGATGGCTAGACACCGTAGAGACAGGCCGCCGTGATCGAAAAACGCCTTAAGGATGTCTGGAGGATGTATGATACTAGAAAAGCTATTGATTTTTTGCTCTACCATCGAGCACGTGATGAATTAGTACTTAATTTATATTGTAATAAGATATTCAATATTATTATATCTCATTAATAAATTAATTTTTCTAATTTTATTCACTATCTCATTCCTATTGAAAAACTTGTACCTTGAACATCTCAGGAATGCGTAAATTGTTTTCAATGACATAATTTTTCTATTTTCAAACATCAAGTCTGTTGTCGTATTTATAATGTGTTTTAGTGAACTACTCACATGCTCAGCCGTGTTTAAATTGTCAACATTTCAACGTTTATGTGTGTGTGTGTGTAAACAAGTTGGCGCTTAAATTTATGTGTGCACTATCTTTTTATAAAAAAAAAAAACACATAATAGATACATTCATTCTACTAGATACATTTATCTGGCGGCAATGCTCTAATAATTGTGATATATATAGAACTATGCATATATTTATGAAAATATGAGTTTCGTTAAGGCCATTCATTCCTGCGCTTGATAAGGAGGTTTAGGGTTGAGCTGAACAATATAATTCACCGTATGTTGCCACAAAGTACCGCTCGGAACTTCTACATCCTTCGACGTCAAGCCGTTACTTAGTTTATTATTTATATTTAGGTTATTTCGTGGTCGACCTGCAGTGTGCCTGCTAGGGCAAGATCTTTTTCCACAATCGGTTATCTATACAAATAAATAAAATTGAAGTGTCTGTTTGTAATGTCGAAATAACAGCTCTTTAATATGTTAAATTTTTGAAATGCATATGAAAATATATACGGTACTTATAACAAAAACATGATTTTAAAAATTTTTGTCTGTCTGTCTGTCTGTCTGTCTGTCTGTTTGTTCCGGCTATCTCCAAAACGGCTGGAACGATTTTGACCGGACTTTCACTGGCCGATAGCTGATGTTATAAGGAGTAACTTAGGCTACTTTTATTTTAGAAAAAGAATTAGGGATCCGCGCAAAAAATTAAAATCCATGAAATCCAATCGTAAGAAATTACGCGCGGGCGATGTCGCTGGGCACAGCTAAAATAAGATATATGGCTTTCTAAGACATTGGCTGCTTCGTTCGTCTAGTGGTCGCAAGCGTATCTGCTGATTATGAGTTCGTTTAAATCTCGACTCGGGCCAGAATCAGTTATGTATTGGATATTTCTGTCAAGTAATTCTCAGTAGCAAGCCGAAGTTCGAAATTTAGCTGTGTTTCAACACCGAGCCTCGAAAAGCACGTAAAACCGTTGGTCCTGCGCTTGATCTCTCTCCGGTCGTGTTCCCATCGAACTATCAGAGTGAGGGAACGGAGTCCGAACCTGTGTTTGCGTACACACTCCTGAACTATACAAGAGTTTTCTGTGGTTAACGCTTTTACCTACCACTTTACACTTTGATAACGTTGTCTAACCCCTAAAACAAAATGAAGCACACAACACCATTTCGAAGTAGGTAACATTTTTAACTCATTTTAAAAAAGGTAAGACAATTAAAATGCTCGTGTTTTATTTTTAACAATTTTCTTACCGTCTTATTGCGATTTCGCTTTATTTATAAAAAAAAACTAACCACTTTCTCTAATGTGCATGTATTTAGAAAATACTAAATCTGTTCAGATGGTAAAAGCTATGTATTTCCCTTAACTCTTACTTGAAGTGGGTAATGGGTGTTTTCTACATACGTTATTAGAAAAGTCGCGTTTCGACTGCAAACGCATCATTTAAACATTTTGAACATCGTATGACTAATGGGGTAACATTCCATAGTTCAGAGAAGAAATATATTACATGGGTTTTTATTATATATATTCTGTTTAAGGACACTATTATTAAAATACTAGAGTATAGTTCATCGCAGTAATGCTCCAATATCCCCGTCTGTTTGACTGCATCCTATATAACCAGAAGCTATCTACCAATAAAGGGATTATTTAAGCGCCGTAGTTGCTCGTGGAAATACAGAGTTATCAATTTCTCCTAACCTAATCGTATTTTATGTAACGCTGATACGATAACATTGGAGGTAGTTCAGCATACATTTGAGAAGGAATAGAAGGAGTTTTCCTCCCCCGTACGTGGGGCCGTCAAAGGGCGGCCGGCACTGGTGGGGCTGCGGATGTTTGCGAATGTCTCTGCCGATAAATAAGGCTCAACACCATAGTATCGGTGTGAGACCTATATATAACCCGTTATTGCTTCCTCGGGTAAGCGTAAACATTTTTCTATAAAAAGTTAAGAATCATCAGCCAACAAAATCGGAGAATATTATTTGTATTAATCAATTTATTTACAGGTGACATGGTATCGCAATGAGCGTCGGCTAATGGAGGCCGAGCGGGTGGCGTTAGTAAGGGATGGAAATTTCTGGTGTGCAGACGTTGCAACTGTGAGTGTGGACGATGCCGGACGATGGACCTGCACCGCTGAGAACGCCGGTGGTAGGGCCAGTTGCTCCGCTCACCTCAATGTTCTTGGTGAGAATTTCCTATTATAATTCGGTTTTCATCCTATTATTGTTTATCCTTTTTAGTATTATTTATGTACTTTTTTTGATTATGTCTATTAGTACGAGGCACGGTAGCACAAATAACCTGGGTATGATTTCCGCCCTTACCTACTTTTCGATTTTATTCAAACCAGCACCAATGCAATTGTTAATTGCAATTTTATGAGCTGATTTATCAGGTTTTTTTTTTATAGAAGAGGGGGCAAACGAGCATGCGGCTCACCTGATGGTAAGTGACTACCGCCGCCCATGAACAACCGCAACACCAGGGGATCCAGGGGAATTGCAGATACGTTGCCGGCCTTTTAAAAAGGAGTAGGCTCTTTTCTTGAAGGTCCCTAAGTCGTATCGGTCCAGAAAAATCGCTGGTGGTAAACTATTCCACAAGGAAGTTGTGCGAGGAAGAAAACATCTTCTAAATCGCACAGTGGTGGACCGCCAATCATCCAGATGATGTGGATGGTATCGGGTGTTCTGCCGCGATGTGCGTTCGTGAAATTTGGCGGCTGGAATTAATCCGAACAATTCCTCAGAGCACTCCCCGTGGTAAATGCGAAAGAAAATGCAAAGAGATGCAACATCTCTTCGCAGCGCCAATGAATCGAGCCGATCGGAGAGGACTCGGTCGTCGACGATTCGAGCCGCTCTGCGCTGGATGCGGTCAAGTGGAAGGAGCTGGCACTGGGGAGCCCCAGCCCAGAGATGGGAACAGTATTCCATTCCGTGCTCGTCGATAATTGAAAACATCGTGTGGAAACCTGCAAATGTGAGACATAAAGTATTTCGAGGACATGGCAACGCTGACAGACACTGGAGCACCGCGGAGGACTTAATGATTCCTCAACCCTCTCAGAAATGAAAGGCCCGTGTCCAGCAGGCTGTAACTTTGTTTACTATTACTAAGCATATTTTATTTTTAAGTGGCATTTAGATATCAACTTCAATATCAATAGAGTGGTCCAGTGATGGGCTCATCGCAAATCCACGTTGATTTTTTCAAAAGAATGTCAAAAACATCGCCCTGAACTAAATGCATCCATCAACTTTGTGCATGTCTCATCTGATTTAGTCTCCGATTTTACCCTAAACGTAATTTAAATACATTTTAAATCAGAAATATATAATAAAATTATCGATATCGATAGAGTTGCCGGATGCCGCCTATTAACGCATGAATTATGGAAACAATAATACTATACACGAAGTTCACAATACGTTATCAATGATATAAGGTGTAGAATAATCTGTTTTTTCTGCCGACTTCCAAAAAGGAGACGGTACTCAATTCGACTGTATGTTTTTTTTATGTTTCATCAAGGCCAGACCAATAGTTTTTGAGTTATTCTTAATAACTTAATAGAAGTCGGCTGTACAAAATTTTTAATTTTAAATTATTTATTTCCAGTACCAAAAGCGTACAAGCGTCCGGAGTTTGTCGAGGAGCTTCGTGCATTACTCACAGAGCAAGGAACAGTATCGCTGGAATGCAAAGTGGTGGGGGTTCCAACGCCAGTTCTGCGATGGTTTAAGGTAGTCCAAGTTTTTTTTAATTTCCTTATCAGTATATAAGGTGATATATGTATATTTTACGACACATAGTAAGTAAATATACAGCCTTCCGCACGCTTCTGTTAGTTACCCGTTATTTCAAAACACTAGACATCATTGCTACACGATTTTTAAATTTTACTTTCAGTTTTGCATCGTGAAGACGCTTTAAATGTAATATGGACAAATACTTATGCGCCGCAGCCAAAGTTTAGCAAACAAATCTATCAAATTTTCAAACTATAAAGTACAACAATTATTATTCTATAGTTTATATTTGTTATCCAATTAAATATATATATATATATATATATATATATATATATATATATATATATATATGTATGTATGTATGTATATAATAGGTTGGGGAAAAAGTTTATTCGTATTTAGTTTGTATAAAATTTTAATATCAATACATATATAGGACATTAAAAAAAAAGGTAAAAAACACTTTCCTGCCTTTTTAATTATAAAAAATAGTGGGATGTTAAAGATGCAGCTCGCTCTGGTCGCCCTCATATCAACGGATAAAGATGATGCCATTTTTGAAAAGTGGAGCAAGATCGGCATATTAGTAGTACGATGTAGCCGAATAGACGACTATATACGAATACAGAATCACAAATGAGTACACGATTCATTAGGTTTCTTTCAGTGAGCTCGTGTGGTACCCAATTATCGAGCTATTTTGTATAGCCAGACTTTGTCAAATGGGTCAAAACTGTTTTGTGGTCAATCCTCAATTACTCGGCTATATCGTATTTACTAATATGACATCTTGCTACACTTTTTCAAAAATGGCATCGACTTTATCCGTATGAGGGCGACCAAAGCGAGCTACATCTTTGACATCAAAATTCCCGGACTCAAAAAGCTTTGTGTTTCTCTTACTTATACTGCATTAGGTCTTTAATCGTTACAACTTTTTATCGCGGCTTAAGTCACATTTTTCCATTTTTGTAATAAAACTTCAGAATGTATTTAATTTCTTCGTTAGATTCACTTATTTTGTCGGACCGAAAAAAATATTGAAAAATGGCGGGAAACGGTTACTTTAATTTTTTGTTAAGTATCTTTTTTTAATGTTCTATATGTATTGATATTAAAACCAGCCAGATACAAACAGGGTTTATACATATACAGGGTATACAACCAAAGAGATTTTTCCTCAATTTTATACGAACAAAATACGAAGAAACTTTTCTCCCGACTATTTTATTTCGAAGTGAACTAAATACCTGAATAAATTTCAGTGAATTAAGCGTGTGATAAAGTATCAGTACCACGTGTGTCGCATGTTTGACCCCTTTTACCGTTGCCGAACTGGGTGTTTTATATCTGGTATTATACCGGATATATATATACGTTTCTATACGTGGTAGAGCCATGCTGCAGTTATATTACTGGTGTAGTTGTAGCACGAATGTGTCGACTTGACCGGGGAAGGACCACGCTCTCACAGAAATACCAGCGTAAAATAGCACCTTAACGCTGCTGTGTTTCGTATGGTGAGTGTAGAGAACCGGATACCCTTTTTACAGGCAAAGAGGCATTCCATCTTAGTCCTCACGGGTGACAACGCATCTGCATCTTGAGTCTTTATTGAGGATAGATGTAGATGTCTATGGGTCACAGTAACCACTTACCATCAGGTGGACTGTGTGCACGTTTGTCACCCGATCCTATAAAAAAAAAACCTAAACGTAAGTAGTGATGCAGCTAAAGATGGTAAAGCGCACTGACTTAGCCCAATCAAAGCCTATTTACTCTTGCGTTGAAGACATACACACACCACTTTAAACTGATGGAAATTATACAACAAAGGAAATCGTAAGCAAACCGTTTGATTCGAATGCGTGGTATGTCGACAACAAAAAGGTGGCGACTGGCCGAGCGTCTGGTTGTCTGATGGTGAAAGGGAGAGAAAAAAATTACGTTAAGCAACAGTTTTCTTAACTGAGGGTTGTGGGGTGCCAGCATTTGTTGGCGGACTACACTTGTCCTCGAAAAATTTAGTTACTTACATTTGCAGGTTTCCTCACTATGTTTTCCTTATGGCTGAGAACTAAGCGCTTTAAGCGCTATTAAGATTGAGTTGCAATTAAGAATTTTATTGGTGCCGGCGGACTCCGAACCCCGGCTGCTCGCGTACTGTAAAAGTCACGACAAGTGCACATTAGTTACACGGCTCTTTATTGTATTGAATTAACAGTAAGTATATCAAAAATTACAGGATAGCCGCGAGATTAAAGCTGGTGACGTGTTCGCCTTGACGGCTAATGCGGAAGATCCTACGTCGCTCGGCACTTACACGTGTGAAGCCGTCAATTGCATGGGTAGAGCCTATTCGTCCTCCAAGGTACACGTTATTGGCCGCGGCAGCAAGGATGGAACCCTACGATCAAGCTCGGGGTGAGTTGATATTTATGTAATACTAGCACAAATTCTTGTTTTGAAACACACAATATTGCTGTCTTGAATAGTGGGTGAAAGGAACCAGGTACAATTTTTACCAGTAACGCGCAAAATCTTTGCATTCTCAGTTGGACTATGTGCTCCGTTCTCACCCATAATTTTTAGTATGTTATAAAGCGAAGGCTGTCCTACTGTTGGATGCAGGCCTTTCCTTATTTTTCAGAACCATATATTATCAGTATATGTATAAAAAATTATCGATTGGCCTAATCTCGTTCGTTAATTACGAGTAACAGGATCAATCACGTGTAGACTTAGTTCGCCTGTGTAAGGTAACAATGTAAGGTCAAGGGACCTACTAAGAGATATTTTAAAGAGATTATTATGTTACCTGTTGTATCAGAAAACCAAATTCCTTTCAGACCTATTAATTATTTTAGAAACTATTTAATACGTTTTACAAAATGAGCGATAACATAAATTTAAGCTTTATAAAATTGGCGTCACCTTATTGAGTAGTTGTAAATAGGACCATAAAACTATTTTATAAAAAAAAACAATCTTATGTTGACAAATTATATGCTTATTTGGAAGTAAAGACTACAAATGAGTTGGGGGGTGACTCGAACTTTAGGCCTAGTCAGAATAGCCTATCAGGTAGAGGATGTCATAGGGTCATGGTTGAATAGGCGCAAAAAGTTCTCATTACACTCCTAGGGGATCAAAATGGCCAAAAACTAAAAAAAAAAAAATTCTTATTTCGGTTATATATCGGCTCCACCTCCATCGGAGGTTCTTACACAGTCTTTACTTCCCACATCCCACTTGTTAAAAGATAACTTATTTTTGACTTATGTAGGTTAGGTGTTAACTTTGCATACTGTTGTCTGCCTCGCGCAACTGTTGATAATTTCATCATGGGTTCGAATCCCGATTCGTGCCAAAATTGGTTATCAGGCTTTTCTTTCAAGAAATTTGCAGCACATATTAGACAGCAGCACGGTGTCAGGAATTTGGCAATATTTTACCCGCGTACCTCGGAAAACACGTGAAGCCGTGTGTAATTACTAATTACATTATGTTTACTCATATATATGTTTGTACGTGGCATAAAAATTTAAACTGTGACAATATATTTAATTTAAAATGACCATTAATTGATTATTTTATTTGCCACAATATGTGAATATTGACATAAAGTATACGCATGCTGTACTACAGGGGAGTGTCTCCAGAGCCGCCTCCGATATTCACGAAAGAATTACAGGACCAATTTGTGAAAATTTGCGAGCCTCTGACAATGAGTTGTCACATTGTGGTGCCGCCTTGGCCACGTAGTGTCGTATGGTACAATAAAGAAGGCAAAATTGAACCAAGTGAAAGGCAAGTCAAGTTTATATTATAATAAATAGTACCTAATGACTTTTTATAATGTAAAATTAAATGTATAAATTAACTAATAGATACAATAATTTAATAAGAGTGTATGTATAATAAGCGAACTTTAATTACAGGTACCATGTGATAGAGGATGGTGTTGGAGGATATTTACTAGAAGTGCCCTCCGCAGAGTGGCCGGATGAGGGCGAGTGGAAATGTGTCGCAACTAGTACGGGAGGCCGCGTCGGTATATCCACCTGCTACGTCACTATGGACGGTACTTTTGGTTTACTCCTACACCACACGTTAAAGGCGATGTATTATATCATTATTTCACCTAATATAAATTCGGATTGCGCATAATAACAAATGACCACACAGAAAATGCGTTAAGTTTGCTAATTTTTATAATGTGATTAATATATTGGAACGAAGTTCCTTATCGCACAGTACGAATTTGGTGGATGGGCTGGGCGAGAAAAAGTGTAAGATTTTTCCGTCACGAACCCCTTTCTATAGTGCGAGCGAGATGAAATAATATCCATCTCCCTTGCACTTTTTCTTATTTTATCATAGAAGAAATATTATTTTAAATGACGCTTAATTTTAATATACGCTAGTAATTCATTTATTTGTATTTGTTAATTAATAATATAATACGTTTATCAATAATGATATAATACTAAAGTAACTTCGTTCCAAGCGAGTGTTCCATGACACTCACGTTTTTTGTGTATTTATTTTGTTTTCAGTACCAAAGAACTTTCGAAAACCTCGTTTTATGGAAAATTTACAAGCCGTGCTCACAGAAGAAGGACTTGTGTCATTTGAATGCAAGGTTGTTGGTTTTCCCACTCCAGTGTTAAGCTGGTTTAAAGACGGTCAAGAGTTGAAGCCAGGAGATGTATATCAGTTGACTGGTACAAACTCCTTGGGTTCTTATTGTTGCATAGCCAGAAATTGTATGGGACAAGCGAATAGTTCGGCGGAGCTTACGGTGGAAGATATTCAGAATCAGCTTAACGACGAAGAAAAGCTTCAGTTGTTCTCGAAAAATCAAGCACCGAAGTTTCTCCAGGGGTTAAAGAGTGTTGAAGCGAAAATCGACGAACCATTCCGTTTTACTATTAAAGGTACGAAACAATCATTACACTTCAATTTCTATAATGCAAAGTTTCGTTTACACTATGTTACTTGTAGGTATACAAAAATGAATAAATCGGTGTTATAAGTATCGGTAGATTAAGTATAAAGTATAAGTGTACATATTAAAAAATGTAAGTATTAAAAAAAGTCTCCCCACATTAAGAAATTCTTCTGTATCGCGGAGGATTTTTACAGACGTAAGTTGAATATTGGTGTAAATACATAAATACGTGTTTCGCGTAAGGTACAAACCCACAACCCGTTAGCGCCGCATTGCAAAACGCATTGCTAATCGAATTAGGTTTTTAGGTTTTTTTACATATAAGTTTAATTTAATTTACTACGTTTGAAGAATTTTCGTTGTCTATTGCATGCCTTAAGCACGAAGCGTATTTTTTTTTTTTTTTTTTTATAGGAGAGGGGGCAAACGAGCATGCGGCTCACCTGATGGTAAGTGACTACCGCCGCCCATGAACAACCGCAACACCAGGGGAATTGCAGATGCGTTGCCGGCCTTTTAAAAAGGAGTAGGCTCTTTTCTTGAAGGTCCCTAAGTCGTATCGGTCCGGAAAAATCGCTGATGGTAATCGATTCCACAAGGAAGTCGTGCGAGGAAGAAAACATCTTCTAAATCGCACAGTGGTGGACCGCCAATCATCCAGATGGTGTGGATGGTATCGGGAGTTCTGCCGCGATGTGCGTTCATGAAATTTGGCGGCTGGGATTAATCCGAACAATTCCTCAGAGCACTCCCCATGGTAGATGCGAAAGAAAATGCAAAGAGATGCAACATCTCTTCGCAATGCCAATGAATCGAGCCGATCGGAAAGGGCTCGGTCGTCGACGATTCGAGCCGCTCTGCGCTGGATGCGGTCAAGTGGAAGGAGCTGGCACTGGGGAGCCCCTGCCCAGAGATGGGAACAGTATTCCATGTGAGGCCGAACCTGCGCCTTGTAAAGTTGCAGGCGGTGTGCCGGCATGAAATACTGTCCCGCTCTGCTGAGCACGCCAAGCTTTTTAGAGGCCAATTTGGCCTTCTCTTCCAAGTGACCACGAAACTGCACGTCACTCGATATGTCGACTCCGAGGATACCGATACTGGCTGAGGCAAGAAGGGGAGTGCCTTGAAACTGAGGAGATACGACAAAGGGGTTCTTTTTAGCGGTAAACGCGCAAACTTGTGTCTTCTGAGGATTAAACTGGACTAGATTTAGTCGCCCCCAATCCGAGACTTGGTCCAGCAAAGACTCGACTTCAGACACAAGTTTGTTCCGGTACTCGGCGACGTTTTCCCGAGAAATATTGGCCCGGCCGGTGTATAGAGCATCACCAGTGCTGTCATCCGCATAGCAATGAATGCTACCAGTTAGCAACATATCATTGATATGCAGAAGAAACAGCGTTGGTGATAGCACACAGCCTTGTGGAACACCAGCGTTAATAGGCTTGTAGTCAGAACATGCACCGTCTACAACGACCTTGATGCTCCGATCTGCAAGGAAGCTGGTGATGTTAGCGTAATGTTTATTTTTAGGCCCTAGCGTATGTTCTGCTAGGGCCTAAAAATAAAAATTCCAACGTTTTGTCGCATGAAATCGTATCTAGCAATCATATTATACATATAAATGATATAAAAAGCACATTGTCAGAAAGATAAATGATTGTCGAACTTATTAATATTTTTTTAAAAATCGATTAATTGCTATTTTTACGTAAAAAAAGGGGTTTTAGTAGCTTATGGTGTGGATTTATCAAGTCCGCTTGGCGGCGTAAACACGATAACTTTTGAAAATATCAATTGTTCAACCCAATCTATTTTTAAAACTCTTCATCTATCATATGGGAAGCCAATGAATATAAATGGCAGTTTAATTTTATTTTGTTTAGTTTTCGACTCTAAAATGGCGAAATTTTCGGTGTTTTTAGCAGCCTTGTATTAATTTATTTTACTACATAGACCGAAGCCGCACTCCGAGCCACAGCTACAGAGTAATTTATTACTCCGGCCTCAAATACCGTCGTGAGTTGCCGTTTGTTACAGTGGCTCGTGCTGAATAATATCTATCGCCGTAGAAATACAAAATATTCCAAAAATCGAAGATACATACTTGACCAACGTAAGAAATTTTTTTTTTATAATCACAGATTTTTATTACAATATTTTGTTTTGCTAAAAGCACGCAGGATTTATATATACCTAAATAAATATACTTATACGTCTTGGACTTTATAGACCTGAAGGTGTGTCAGTGTATAAAAAAAATGGGGATTGTAACAAATATTTGCTATAAAATCAAACTTATATCCAATATTTTATGCTCAAATTGTGGTTGAAAATTATCATATTAAGTAAATTGTTTGCCGTTAAATCTTTTGAAGTGTTATTGTTATTAAACTGTACGAAATGATATTTTTAACACATAGATGTAATAATTGGCTGAATTCATTAGTGGCTGATGTTAATTTTATGTTAATTGTTGTTACTCTTTTGGATGAAATATTGGTTGGTATTAATTTAAACGAAGCGCGTCAGTTTAATAATATTTGAAATTGAAGTTTGACATAAAATTATTGGAAAATTGGAAATATAATAAAAAGGTTATTAGTGAAAACTTGTGTGCGCTTAGGGCATGCACAATTGGATTTACCAATAATTTTTTTTATAAACCAACAAATGTCACTAAACGTCCTGGGACCTTTGTTTAAGAGAAAATTACAATACGCATGCAAGTCTTTTACATACCCGGTATAAGAGGAACGCGGTTGGATATCTGATAATAGTTGGGAAGTTTAAGTAATTTTAGAAGGTTTTAAAATTATTTATGGAAAAATGTAGTAGATACGAGTATACCTAGTTTGTATCGTAAAAAATAAACAACAAAAACACAGCTTTAACAGTGGTAGAGCCACGAGGCAGCTTTTGCTGTCGCACGGATGGGCCGGCTCGAACCGGGGTGGTACCACGACTTCACAGAATACCAGCGTGAAGTAGAGGTTTACCTCTGCATTTCGCTTGGTGAGTGCAGGTGGCCGGAGGCCCCTTTTACTGGAAATGAGGCATTCCATCTTAGTCCTCACGGGTGACAACGCATCTGCATTTTGATTTGTAATAGAGGATAGATGTAGATGTCTATGGGTCACAGCAATCACTTACCATCAGGTGGACTGTGTGTTCGTTTGTCACCCTTATCCTATATAAAAAAAAAACAAAAATATATTCGTCAACGAAATCATACGCGTTGTTTTCATTTCCGTGTGTTGTTACGTAGTACTATTATTTTTTCTGTGGTGTTGGATAATCATAAAGTAGAATAGTGACATTATAATTAATGTAACTTGATAGGACCCTGATGGGATTAATTTTAATTGTGGAAAAAATAGTATAGTTTAAGTACACATTTTGATATTGATAATCAATTAAATGTAATCTTTAATTTACTAATTTAATATTTATTATATAGACGAATCTCGGTTCGGTGGTGTATTGGTACTAATGCGGCGCTGCGGTGCTTGCATAGTTTGATCATTCGCAATAAATTGTTACGGTACTGAATGTGTGTCCATGTGCAATTTTATGCATGTAAAATGCCTTCATGATACTTGTTCAAATCCTAGTGTGGGAGTAAATTATCTAATAAAATGTAGTTTTTACTCTTTAAGTGATTCATACCTTTTTACAAATCGACGGATGACTTTATATTGCTAAGTATCAAGGTAGTTAAAGTAGCCGATATTTGTAATGCAGCATTACAAATATCGGTTACTTGTTGCATCACTTTTAATGCAGTATGATTTACCATTTTTGTTTATTTTCCTTACGAAATATTTTATAACATCATTCTTGTGTTATTTTTTTATTTTAGTTGCTATTCCACCTGAACCATCAGTACTCTGGTACAGAGATGACCAACCGGTGGATGATTCTAAGCGATGTCGTCTTGGCAAAGAAGAACGTGGAATATTCTACCTTGACATTCAAACCCTGGAATTTTTGGATCAGGCTGAATGGAAGTGTGTTGCTATGAATGACTTTGGACACAGTGTTACATCATGCTTTTTAAAGCTGATTATACCTCGCCATTACAAGAAACCCCGTTTTTTGGAGAATTTACAGGCGATTTTATCTGACGAAGGCGCTGTTAACTTAGAATGTAAAGTCATAGGAGTGCCTCAACCGGTTTTAAAATGGTACAAAGATGGAGAAGAACTTAAGCCAGGTGATATTCATAGAATTATATCTGGTCAAGATGGTACATGTTGTCTCGGTACTTACACATGTGAAGCGCAAAACTGTATGGGCATTGCAGCAAGTTCAGCTTCACTGTTAGGGTTTGACGATTCTATGAAGATGAAAGGAAAGAAAAAAACTGACGAACAGACGTTACAAAGAAATCTTTCTCTCAGTACTATTCACGAAGAACGAACATCTCAAATGTATGACACACCAGTAGGAGATATAACCTTAGACGATAAAGGAGAGATTTCATTTTCTTTTGATGGAAAGGAGGTATCTGTTTCGCTATACGAGACTCCTGATTTAACAGAAGAAGAAGCACTACAGATTGTTGAAATGTATGCTGATCAACTTTCTGAAAACGTTACGGAGCATAACGTTGTTGAGCTTCCTCCACTAAGGTTCGTAAAAGAAACGTCCACTTCTGGTAATTTGTTAATGGAAGCAATAATTATAGATGTTTCTCCTGAATATTTCACATCTCCTGAAGAAGATCTGAGAACTGAAGCTGATATCGAAGATATTTCTATAGCTGATGAAAACGGTCCTCCTCAGCTATCTTTAGATCAGGAATTTAATGGAGAGGACAATCTAGAAAAAGTGAATGTATTAGTATCAGATGAAAAAGTTGATGTTCATCAACATTTAGGTAGAAAAAAATCTGATTCACAAAGAAGTGGTGATTACTTTAGCTTTTCTCATGATCATTCGCTTTCAGATGAAAAAAGAGACGACGATACTCAAGTATTATCTGAAAGTGATTTACAGAGTTTCGCAAGTGCGCATAGTTCTGAAAAACCAAAATCATTTAAACCATCTCCAGATGATGGCCTTGAATCATCAGAAGTTACTAAGACCACTATATACAAGGGTGAAATTGGAAAAAATTACACAGATCAGGAAAAACATAAATTGAGACACGAAAGAAGAAGCAGCTGTAGTTCTAGAAGATCTAGTTCAGGTAGTGAAATATCACATACAAAATCAAAAGGACAGTTGTTACAAAAATGTGAGAGTATAAACCAATCATTATCACCACACAAGGAGTTCGAAGAAAAAGTAAACACTATAAAATCAACTTTAAGTATTATCATGAATGATTTACAAATTTTAGAAAAAGATATTATTTTAAAATCTGAGTTAATGTCTTCTGTCGCTACAGCATCAAAAAGCTTAGAAATTATAAATAGTTTGCTAACTCCTTTATCTGAAATTAACACCATAACCGAAGCAGCCATTGACTCAATAAATGAAATTAATAATGTGAATAATAATATCTTTAAAAATATGCCAGAATCATTAAGATCACTTCAACAATCTCTTACAGTAATAGAAAAATGTATCGATATTGAAAGTGAAAATAAAACCCTTGTAAAGAAGACTTGCATATCGTTAATAGAAAAGTGTGGCGACAAAATGCAATGTTTAATGTCAAACATTACATCTCTTACCTCTGACTGTTTTAAAATGGAAGACAAAATATTGTTTGACATACAATCTCTAACACATGAAGTAAATAATATTCTTAATTTTACAGCTGATACTATTAAAACTAGGAATTTACTAATCGAAGCAAGTGAATTGCATGTTGATGAATTATCCTGTGATGTTAAACACTTAAAAGATACTCAAAAAGGTATATATGAATTAAAAAGACCTGTTATCGCACTACTAAGCATTGTAGAAAATGCAGAGAAGTGCGAAACAAGTATTTTATCGATAAACAGTAGTTCTGTTATCCTTGCTGATATGTCTGCGTCCATTCAAGATTTGCAATCGGCGCTAGAACAAATAGAATTTTTATCAATAAAGGAATCAACGGCAATACTAAAAAAATATAACACGGAAATAATTGATGCTGTTATGAATTCTGTACTAAAATTAAGAAGTTCTTTTGAACATATTTCGATAGAAAGTAAAAAAAATGATGATAGTGTTATGTTAAAGCAAAATCTAACTTTAGTAAAAAGTAATCTCAATGACATTTTTTTGCAATTAAAATTGTTTGAAAATAATATTGGCTGTTTTGATATATTGCAAAGTGACAATAAGTTAGAAGCACTACAAAAAATGGCTCAGGTTTTAATTTCGTTAGAGAATAATTTACCGAGACTAGAAGTCATGTCTAATTTAAAGAATTCTATGAATTTATTTCACAAACAATTGACAAGGATATTGGAAAATGTTATTGAAAGTAACGACGCAGAAAAGTATTTTGCCCTAATGGAAATATGTGACGCACTAAAGAGGGTTAATAATTCAATATGTGACATAGACTCTCAAAGCCAGTTATGCTTAGCTAGTATGAGTAACTCACTAAAAATAATAAAAGACTGTGTAGATAAAAATTATTTTGAATCAGAATTAAAGAAGTCTATAATGAGTAATATATCTGATATTCTTATTTGCATTCAAGAAGTGAACCAACCTGAAAACAAAAGTTTAAGTATTGAATCTGAATATATTCAACAAACATCTGATCGTGAGCTTGATAAAATGAAAGCTGATATTGTGATGGAACGAATAGATCAAACTCTAGCAGCTGTTGCTGTGGTTACATCTCTGCATGCTTTGGAAGAACAAGGACCACTTTTGCCTGTTATAGAAAATATTTGTCCACTTTTAGAAGAACTGAAACGCAGTGTGGCTTGTATAGGATTAAGTGGAATTGAACACGAAGAACATATTTCAGAGATTTCAGACATTTCTTCTCATGCAACGGAAACTTTAGCGAAATCTCTTTGTGAATTAAATCGACATATTTCAGTTCTTAATGCAATTATATTAGAAAATCCTGAAAGTATTACTGAAGGTATTCAGCAAATATCTGCATTTGCTCAACCTCTCAACGAATTATATAAATCTCTAGAAGTATTGCAGCACAATATTATTTCACAACTTGGTAATGATTTATCGCCTTATGAGTTAAATGGAAACGTTGCAAATGCAGCTCAAAATTTATATAGTACAACGCTAATGATACACGAAAATATTGGGATAGAAGCTGTTGATGAAATATCAACTCTTGAAGATATTTCGGCTATAAAAACTATGGCAGAAACTAATCTTTCTGATGACTTATTATTACCAGTTGTTAATGAAACTGAGGTTCAACAATCTCTAGAATTCATGGATAATTTCAAGCAGTCTGCTGCAGCTCAAGCATTAAACATACTTAATAAACACATTATAACAATCCAAAACCTTGAGGTAATGAATACACTAGAAATTCTTTCGGAAAAATGCCAATATTCTAATTTGAGGTCATTAGTGGAGGGCTTAACGAATTTGCACGATAAGATTGAAGAAAACTTAAATCCTATTGTAATAAATAATTCACAAGACTATATAAATTGTATTAATACCTCCAAGTTAGTCCCTATAGCAGAACTTATGCTTGAGCTTCAACAGGGTTTATCTGTAGTAGATACTAGTAACATTCCAATTTTTGAAGATATTTTAGATATTTCACCAGACACAATACATTCCGTTTTTCAAGGCATAGCCGAATTTAAAAACCACTTAGAAGCATCTATTCAAATTTTACTTCCTGCTTTGGAAGTTGCAGATAACACAGTAAAAATATCTTATCACATTGATACATTAAAAGAGTCATGTGTACTATTAAGTGATCTATTAACATCTTCTACACTTACCTTTAATTCTAGTCGAATTGCCAAAAATATTGAGCCTTTAGAAGTGTTGCTTGTAAATTTTTTGCATTCTTGTGATGTTATAAAAGGGATTAATGTTGAAAATATAAAGACCATTGTTGAAGATCTTTATGACAATATTCTGATCCTCCAAGAAGAAATTGTACCACTTACGTCATGGGAAATAGAAGAACCAGAAAAATTGCAATTAATACAAACATTAAATGACATGGAAGCGACCATCGTTATCTTAGAACATGTTAATTTTGTTGAACTGTCAAAACCCTTAGACTGCTGTTATAACACTTCTTTTAATGCCATTGAAGTAAAATCAGAACCACTTTTCCAAGTGGAAGATATAATGGTTAGTACTACAGATGTTCTAGAAAATTTAGAAAATAAGGGAAAAAGAGAAGATTCAGTTGAAGTTGAAAATTTTATTAGAAGGTGCAAAAGCGAATTTATCATTTTACGATCACTGATTACAAAAGAACTTACGTTCAAACGAATTATGAGAATATATCAAAAATTTTATTTTCTTCGTAACGAGATTACATCTTTTAATTCAAACATATCGAAGTTTAATTTGTCAGATGAAATAATAAACTCTTTATTAAATTTTATATCAAAAGCTAATAAATGTTTGGAGAGTGCACAACTTTCTCTTATTAAAATCTTTGAATGTCATACTGATATGATTTATACAACACCTTTGGCAATTCTTTCTGACAATTCGAAATATCTAAGCAATACATCGGAAAAAAATATATCATCCGAATTAGCTAACCTTATAAAAACATTTTTAAAGGTTGCAGAGATTTTATTACCAACAATAGAAAATGTACATATTAAAGTTATTAACGAATTAAAAATTGTTACTGAAATAGAAGTAAATGAAAAAGAAATTTTAGATGAGTGGAATATATTTGTTAAAGTAGTTGAACAAACATCTTTAACTAAATCATTAGGTATAGAATACCATCAGAAATTAGAAAATATACTTTGTTGTATACAGCAGCATAGTTATTTCAAAGACGCACCTGGATCTGGAAAACAACTAATATTACTTATGTGTATGGCGGAATGTTCCCAAATGTTAAAACAAATGAAGGAATTAAAAGCGAATGACCTTAGTACAAATATTAAACTCAACGAAGACTTGACAAGAATGATAATTTCGCTTAAAGCTTTATATAAGCAAATAGGAGATTTCCAAGAAAGTAATATTTTGGAAATTGATAAAGCAAATTTCATTAACTTAGAATCTACAGAACCCTATATTGAAACGTTGACAGAAATTTGTGAAGATTTAAAACGTGATATGCAAACAGAAGCATTTGTAGTAACTGAGATAGATAAAAGTTTAATGTCTGAAATAAGTAAAGAAATAGACTTAATTCAAAACAATTTGCAATCTTTAGATGATATAAGAGTTAAAGATATGGTAATGACTTTAAATACAATAGGGAAGTCATTTAATATCATTTTGTCTTCAGAGAAAGAAGAAAATGACAATAATATTTTGAAAGGTGAGTTCCTTAATGTTCTATCATTGTTTAACAGTCGCACTCAGAGGCAGTGTTTCATGTAGCACGAATAAGCATTTAACTAATTGCGATTAAAATATTTTAACCCACGTCAAAAAGGGAGGTGGTTCTCAATTCGTCTGTATTTTTTATGTGTGTTACCTCAGAAAATTTTTTTAGGTGAACCGATTCTGATGATTCTTATTTTATTTGAAAGCTGGTGCTTCTCATGTAGTCTCATATAAATTTGATCAAGATCTAAGTATTTAATTGACTTCGACTCATCATATTACAGCCCTTCACAAGTCCACTACTGAACATTGGCCTCCCCCAAGAAATGCCACAAAGCACAGTCCTGAGCCCCTGCATCCATCGACTTCCTGCATGTCTTACCATATCGTCACTCCATCTAGTGGTGGGACGCCCTACACTTCGTCCGCCGGTACAAGGCCGCCACTGAAGAACATTTTTCCCCATCCGTTGTCGGTTCTTCGAGCTATATGGCCGGCCCATTGCCACTTCAGCTGACTAATCCGTTGGGCTATGTCGGTCACTCTGGTTCTACTGCGGATATCCTCATTTCTAAGTTTATCACGCAGAGAAACTCCGAGCATAGCCCTTGATCTTCCTTATACGGCCAGCAGTGAAGGACCACGTCTCAGTTCCATAAGTCATCACTGGCAACACGCACTGGTTGTGGTTTTTAAGTTTATAGGTATACCCGACGAGAAGATGTGCCGTAATTTCCCGAACGCTGCCCAACCGAGTTGAATCCGTCGATTAACCTCTCGGTCGAAGTTGGACTTACATAGTCGGACTATATGTCCAAGGTAAACATACTCGTCAACAACTACCGGCATAGGTGTGACATGGAAATTGAACATGATCTTTGTTTTGTCCATGTTCATTCCGTTGGAGACACTATTGAGGTCATTGAGCATAATGCTTAGGTCCTCCAGCGATTCTGCCATAAGGACTATATCGTCGGTAAATTGAAGGTGAGTGATGTACTCGCCATTCATATTAATACCGTATCCTTTCCAGTCCAGTAGCTTGAAAACGTCTTCCAATGCAGCGGTGAAGAATTTCGGGGATATACGTCACCCTGTCTTACACCTCTCTGCAGTTGGATAGGTTTCGTACTCTGATTCTGCACTTCGATATACCGACAGTCAACTTGGCACCACTGAATGACCTGTAGCACCGCCTAAATTTCGACGGAATCAAAGGCTTTCTCATAGTCAAGGCAAAGTGGCAAATTGTACTCTTCTGTCTTGTGTGCAATTTGCCGAAGGGTGTGTATGTGGTCTATGGTACTAAAGTCTTTTCGGAAACCGGCTTGTTCGGGAGGCTGGAAGTCGTCGAGTCTGCGTGCGAGACGATTAGTAACGACTCTCGAAAACAGCATGTAGACACGGCTCAGAAAGGAAGTCAGTCTATAGTTCTTCGAGAGAGCGTTATCGCCTTTCTTGAATAACAAGACCACCGCACTTCTGCTCCACACCTCCGGAGTAGTGCCACCATGGAGGACGGAATTAAAGAGCTTCTGAAGAACTTTAACTACCGGTTTGCCACCCGCTTTCAGAAGCTCACCTGTAATTCCATCCTCACCTGGGGCCTTGCCGTTTTTAAGGTGCTGGAGAGCCACGCTAATCTCGCTCTCCCTAAAGACGGCTCATTGGCGCAGTGGCTTAGCAATCAGTTGTTGCGCTGGGAGCCGCGGGTTCGAATTCCGCATGGAACCAGTATTTGCATGACCTACAAATAATTGTTCCGGGTCTGGATGTTTGTCCTTGTGCAATTTATGTTTGTAAACTGCCTCCACGACACAGGAGAAAATCCTAGTGTGGGGGTAACGTTTTTTAAAAAGAAAAAAAATATCTTCAAGTACCGGTTTTCCATCCGCTTTCAGAAGCTACCCTGTGATTCCATCCTCACCTGGGGCCTTGCCGTTTTTAAGGTGCTGGAGAGCCACCCTAATCTCGCTTAGACTGACGTCCGGGACATCTTCGGCATGTTGTCGGTTAAGACTCGCTCTTGGATCGTTACTCATGCTTGCGTGTGACTCCAACGATGACGTGTACAGCTGCCCATAAAACTTCTCAATCTCAGTCAAAATCTCAGGTCTCCCGGAAACGGTGCTGCCACACTCGGTTTTCAATTTTGACATTTGTTTCTTTCTGGCAGACAGATCTCTGGCAAAGACTTTGGAGCCTAAATTCCGCACGATCGCTTCTTCATTACAAGTTGTATTGAAGTGGCGTAAGTTCCGCCGCATGCATTTGGAGATCTGTCTGTTCAGTTGCCTGTATGCTGTCAAATCTGTTGAAGACTGCAGCTTCATTTCCCGTCTAATAGCCATGAGATTAAGGGTGTAATTGAAGAATTCTTGTGTTCTTCTGCGCATGCTCTTGCAGAATTTAGCTCCGACCGTATGGCCAGTTTCCACGAGCTTATCATTCATATCGTCCACTTCATTGCAGTCTTCTAGGCACTGAAAACAGTTTTGTAACTAGAGCTGAAAGGTTTACCGGGACTTTGGATTAGATCACGAGGGGGACGGAGCGTTGACTTCATTAGACGAGACCTCTCCAACTTAACGTTTAGGTTATGTGTGCCTCTAACCATTCGGTGTTCGCTACCAGTTTTCACCCTCCCGATCACTGAGACATCACTGAACAGTTGTCGTCTGGTCATCATAATGAAGTCAATCTCATTTTTTGTCGAACCGTCGGGGCTCGACCAGGTCCACTTTCTGTGGGGCCACTTCTGGAAGAAAGAGTTCATAATAAAGAGTCGTTCTTTCTCCATACAGTCCAGCTGCTGGCAGCTTAGGTTCCGTTGCCCTATTCCGAATTTCCCTACTTTCAGCTCACCGTTTTCTCTTGTGCCTTGTTTTGCGTTGAAGTCTCCCATTAACACCCTATAGTGGGTTTTTGGGGAATACATGGCTCTAGAGATATCCTCATACATTTCCTCTACCTCCTCATCGGGGTGTGTCGAGGTTGGTGCGTAAGCGTTTATGACCTTCAGCGAATACCGTTTGGTGATTCTGAGTATAAGATACGCAACCCTCGTCGATATACTGCCAAGTTTTACAACGTTGTTAACGAGAGACTTGTGGACGATAAATCCGACACCTCCTTGGGACAGATGGTCGCCCTCCCGGTGATAGAACATGTTGCCAGATTCGAGGATTACCGTGTCCTCCCCCTCTCTTCGGACCTCGGTTAATTCTATGATATTCCAGCGCATCTTGTCTATCTCTTCTTCCAGCTCCAGGATCTTCTCGTCAGTCCTTAGGATGCGTGCGTTATAAGTTGCCAGGTCAAGTCGTATTAGGTGGCAACCGAACCTCCACCGGAGATTCTTAGCACCCCCTGCCCCGCCGTTACCATGGTCGCCACCTTAGCCAGGAATAGCGGGGGCTTAGTTACTTTATCCATTTGGGGGGTTATTGCCATAGTTGTCACGCTTGAGGAGCGGGTTGGCAACCGCAGTTGTTTACTGTGATATTGCTATTATCAGAAAGATGCTGCTGCCCATCTCCTGCCTGTTTCCCACTGTCGTCTCTTACGACACCCACGGGAAGATATGAGATAGTGGATATTCTTAACCGCCACTACACGTCTTACTTCAGCTTTTTATTAATTTTTTTTAACTTCGACTACATTGATGATGTTCTCGTTTTATTTTTATCGAAGTCGGTTGTACAATTTATTTTTAATTTTACCTCTTGTTGTAACTTCAGTTTTATAAAAAAACGACATAATACTTATCCGCGGCTTTGGAGATCAGGGAAAGCGGCGCTCCGAAACCTCTCATAGCGCATTTAGATTAGTTCACCACGCCTACGGAAAGCTCAAATCCAGTCGACTCCCCGGTGATATGTGCTACACTACATTGCTTTTATTAGTTTACAAGTGCAATCAAACTAATAATATCAAGCTACATCTTTATGTGACAGTATTTCCCTGGTATATGTCTATAATGAAAATATTTCAAGATAGAATCATATTAAAGTTAATTTCGAACACCTTCATGTCTTAATTTCCATATTCATAAATAAAGCTTTTGATAACTTATATTAAAAAGGTAAAGTGAAAATTATATAGCTATTGCAGTTTATTCTTAATTATATCTATTTTACAAAATACTTTACAATTTTCGTTTATTTTTCAGATAACTACGAAAAACTTTTGAATCATCTTTCTCAGTATATTAATGTAATTGAAAGTTTAGAAAAAAAACCTGAAGTAATCAAGATTGATAATTTAGTATCGTCTATTAATTTAGCAAAAGAATTACGTATGTCATTAGTGGAAAGTATTATAACTAGTGAAGAAGTAAAGTATGTAAATAGCTTAAATGATATAGTCAAAAACGCAGATAAGCAAATACATAGTTTACAAGAATCAATATCCATGCTTCAGGTTCAATTGCTTGAATACGTAAGCAGTGCTACGTTAAATTTTGAAAAAGACGATTTTCAGCACGCTATTGAAGTGATTTCTGATCTACAAGAAGATTTATTAGCTATATCAGCGAGGCAAACTATTATAAACATGCCTTACAATAGTATTGATAATAACGAGTTAAATGAAAAAACTACTATTATCGATAATTACCAAGCTAACTCATTTAATGATAAAGCAATAAAAGACAAGGAAATGTCTCCAGTATTAGAAGGTGCAGTTAACGAAAAGTTACTAAATGATTTTGAGACATTAGTATATAAAAATAACGAAGTACAACCTGTACAAACCACCTCTAATGACTCATATGAACAATTTGATAGCGGAAGTAGTAATACAGAATATTTACAGGAATGTAAAATCTTAAGCGATAAGACTTATACACAAGCAAGCGAAACTGTTGTAACAAATTTAGACAAAAAAGATAATATAGATACGCTAGAGAAGAACACTGCAAAAGTGAAAATAATTTTGGGTAATGATAAATTGTTTTTAAAATATGGTATAAATTTTTAGAAAATAAATTTTTATAAAATAGAAAATATTTTGTGCCTTAGATAATAAGAATTACTAAGCTAATAATATATTTTGTTTTAGGTGAGCTACTTAATCACCTTGAAGAATTTGTTTCTTGCGGTGACGTAGTTAGCCGATTAGTTTTATTGACAAATACTACTAATCTTGAAGATTGCATCAAAAAAGCAATAGTCTTAAAGGAGCAAATTACTGAGTCGCTTTTAAGTCCAGATAACAAAGTTCCAAATTTTTTTCAAACAGGATATATTAATAAAAACTATGCAACTTTACCTCAAGATCTTTATGAAAACCTTAAAATTTTGCAAAAAGAAATGCATAATAAGACAAAAGAGCTCTCAGCCGAGTTTGATGATGTTAGTCTGCAACGTGTTAGTAATGTCTTAACTAGACTAGAGGTAAACATACACGATGCATTTATTTTTGAAGAAACCACCTGTGAAGAACTAAATAACAACACGAACTTCCATATTACAACAGCATCAGAGTTTACAGAAGAGAACTTATCGAAAAATATAAATGAGAAAATATTTTCTGAAAAATCTGTGGTTGACTCTAAAACACCCCAAGAAACTGAAATTATATTATTGGACTCTCAACAGGGGATTTTTTCGAAAGAAATATCAGATAACATCGAATATACTGCAAAAATGCCAATTTGTTCCGAAGTATTCGAAAAAATCGAATCAACACAAGAGAGTTTACAGCAACTTGAGCAGCCAAACAAAATAGTTGCTAAGAGCATTGTTTCTAATGAGGAAAATGATTTAATAGTAACTAAAAATCTTGTTTCCATTTCATTTTACGAGGATACAATAGATCAGAGTGTCAATGAAAATAATAAAAAAATTCCTCCATCGTCAACAGGTAAGTTAGTTATAATTATAAGCTAAAGATAAAAGTATTTTAAATATCAATATAATTTATCGCTAAACCTCTTTGTGTGTATGTAAATTTTAATAATTATGATAAAGTTTTGGCACAGTAACATACTTCTATATATTATCAGGTGAAAATGACTGTGCGTATGGAAGTTTAGATGGTGAATTTTGCACAAAAATTCACTTTCAAACATTTACATGCATGACATTACATGCTATGATTTTATCTTAATGAAAAATTTCCCTACGCCTAGAGACTAAGCTTCAATTCGGCTTCAGCAAGAATATTCCTAACGTCCTCTCCTCCCTCTTACAGAGTTGTTTTTCAGTCACTACAAAGGTTGGGCTTCTCGTATCAGCAATCCCACTAAAGTTATTCGAATCTTGTTTGTCGTGGCTTTTATAGTTACATACATAAACACTCAAGACTGTTACCCAGAGGGGTAGGCAGAGACTATGAAGTATTTTACAACATCTTGCGATAGTACTTTTTCAAATCTAAATTCTTTTAAATAGGTATTTACATTCAGTTTGAGTAATGACTCGGCGACAGTTGGAGAAGTATTCAATGACTCAGTTGTCAAGATAGGACTATCCATGAAATATTTCTCAAACACCGCTGCGACTTCTTGATTTGATTTATTTAATTCATTGTTAATTTTTAATTGATAGTTTGAGTTAAGAGGTTTGTCTTTACCGGTTTCGTTGTTAATTATACTCCACGTTATTTTAATTTTATTCTTAGCCGTCTTAATTTTGTTGCTAATATGTAACGATTTGGCTGTGGACCAAACTCTTTTAAATATTTTAGAATAATTTTTGACATATTCTTTAAAAGCATCGGAAAGATTATATGATCTTTCATGGTAAAGGTCATATAACCTTCGTCTGCTTTTATGAATTCCTACTGTCGCCCACTCATTAAATGCCTTGCGACTGTTTCTGTAAAATGTTTTAGAAGTAAATTTTTTTTAATCATTGCTTATAAGGGTAAATAATTCTTCATATAAATAGTCTGAATTGTTCTTATAATAAAGCGAAGGAAGGTTTTTTACCATATTACTTCTCAATCTCTCCAGGTGTTTTGCATTAATAGGAACAAACACACTTTTCTCAATTACCTGTTTTTTGTGCATATAAGGTAATGAAACCAGTTGTCCACAGTGATCTGAACTAAGTTTTTGAATTATTGTTTTGTTGATTGGTACAACACCTGCAAAAATATTATCAATACAAGTTGCACTACTCCCTGTAATACGTGTTCAAAGAATAAATTCAAAGAATAAATTATCAAGATTATAGGATTTGAACAAAGAGCAAAATTTAATACTGATGGAAGATGGAAGAGATTGATATTAAAGTCTCCACACACTACAAGAGATTTATTCTGTTTATTAAGCTTAACTCAAACTTCTTCCATAACCTTTTCAAAAGTATCATAATTTGAACATGGGGGTCTGTAAACACTGACAACGATAAGGTGCTCAACCTCAACGCATGCCATTTCCACAGTACGCTCAACAGAGATGCTCACAATGTCTTTACGTTCTTTACATGATAAGGATTTATCAGCTAATATTAAGGAGCCACCACGTAATCTAGTATCTCTATTAAACGAACTGACCACTTGGTGATTACTGAAATTAAATATGCAATTGTAATCTTTCAAACAATTTTCAGTAATACCTAAAATGTGTATATTGTTACTATTTAAAAATAATTCAATTTCTAATTCTTTGCCTTTAGGCAAAATATACAAAGTATGTTAATACTTTGTATGTTTTGATGCACCAGGTTGATACAGTTTTTATTATTGCTATTTTGTGAAATTGCATAGTTGTGTATTGGTAGGTTGCATTCTAAGCTATTTAAATTATCTTTGCTAGAGATTACCTTTATTGTCTTATTATCTAATTTAAATTACTTGGAACTGGTTCCAAATCAAATGTAAAATTATTGACCTGCTCTAAAGAAGCAGGTGTCAAGGTAGCCAAATCAATGGCTGAGTTAAAATATAAATAATAAGATAGCGTATTTGCTACCAGTCTTAAACTATACTTTGATAGGTGTCAAAAACTTCTTAATTAAATTATTTAAATCAATAATTTGAAATTTATAATATAATATAATATTACAATTATATGTCAGTTTTACATTATTATTGCATATTACATTATTCATTTGGATATTTAAGTCATGTCTTAATTTATTTTCTTGTGGCAGACCCCATAAGTAAGGCAATGTAAACAAAACAATCTTGTGAACATTTAAATTATTTAGAATTTCAATATAATCCAATAATTGTTTTTTATTCACATTGCCTCTTCTCCCAATAAGAAGTATCAATATACTATTAGGACTATGGCTACTTATAAGAATTTTATTTATAATTTGGCTAAATGATGCTCTCGTGCTTCTTCTGCCTCACCCAACTTTCACTACCATACATTAAAGTAGGTACTAACACAGCATTGTGAATTGCCATACGTGCCTTTTTGGACACATTCTGACTTTTCACAATAGGGTGTAGAGCCCCATTCACTCTATTTCCTGCATTTACTCGTCGTTATCATATCATCCCTGCTAAACACACATCCCTCAAATACACAAACTCATCTACTTGCTCGACCAACTTTGTTTTTATAGTTATCTTGTTTAAATTATATTTACTTGTTATTAATTACTGTTCTGTTTTATAACTTAAAATTGTTATTTAATAGAATTTGATTACAATAAGGTTTTGATTTTTATTTCAGATATAATACAAAAAGATTCTTTATATGGATTAAAATCTTTACTCCAAGAAGTTTGCGACAAAATTGATATGTTAGCAATCGTTAAGACTGCTGATCATACCGAAACTCTCCAGAATACATTAGATGAGATTCAAACGGTAATTATTGAATTAAAATGTGATTACGACGGATCTGTAAGCGACACTCTCAATGAAACTCTTGAAGACTTAGAGTGTAGTGTAAGGAGTGTTCAACTCCAAATACACGAAGATAGTCCACCAGAACTGCTTAAGGAAGCTTGTGCGGCACTGCAGTTGTTAGTAACCAACATGTGTGAACTACAAGAACTTCATCTATCTCACAATATGCCTACTGAAGTAAAATTAGATAACATTCTTCAAAGTTGCTCTAATGATACTGAAACCATTGTTAGTTTGTTAGATGCTACATTAGAGTCGAAGGCAAGTGATCCAAGTGAATTTAGTATACTTATTGCCGATCTAAATTCTTTAAAGTGCTTAATACAATTATTAAAATCTAATTTTGACGAAAATATGGAAACATTAATAGAGAAGGGGATTGAAATAAATCAAAACCTAGATCTTGTCGAGGATCGAGTATTCACATTAGAAAAAGATGTTGATTTGAACAAAAACTTAAGTTCTCATGATAGAGATACGGTTATCGCTGTTATTCATTCTGTTTATGGCAGTATTTCAAATATGAGGAGTGCAATGACAAGTGTACAAAAACAATATATGTTTGAGAATTATGCGAACCCCTCAAAACTTTTTTTAAGCGCTTTGAAGAATATCGCATTAATTGTCCAAACCAGCGGTGAAACTAACTGGAAAATAATAGCAAAATGTTTACGTAAAGTGCTAAACCACTTCGAAGACATAAAATTTTACATTAATTTCGATAAAACTGCAAGAATTCCTAGTGACGCTGCATTTACAAAGATTATTCTTCTTGATCTTAAATCTGTAATTAATGAGGTGATTTTTGCAAACGAAACTCAACTGAGTCCAGAAATTATTGCTATTGCTAGAAATACTGCTATTTGTATAGAATCAAGATTACTTAATATAGAAAATCAATCACATTTGGAAGTGAAAGAAAAGATACCTATATTTAAATCTATAGCATTTCAATTACATTTATTGATAGAATCTATTAAAGATTATTTAGTCGTCAATGCAGATGGCCAGGACAATAAAGAAAAAACAATAAATAGAAATAAGGCAATTACAGAAAAGGAAGATATTAACACATTAGACCAAGATGTAACAAATGCAGAAACAATAAACACTGTTTTATCAGGGCAGTCTACTATCGCTGATCCTTTGAAAACAGAATCTTTAGAGGAAAATAAAGATTTTTGGGATTCTGAAGCAGAAACAATTAAATCTAAGATAAATGTACTAGAACATGAAAGTAATAAAAGCCAAAACTATACTGAAGTTAGTAATGAAAATGATATAAAACTTGATACTTGCTCAGTCAATGATTTTCATGAGAATACTGAAATGTCTTTTAGCAAAATAGAATTAGGTGTACCAAACTTTGCTTTAGAGGTTGTTCCTGAATCTGTCATGTTGGAAAATATATTAGAACATACACTTTTAAAAATAGAAGAGTCGAAACCGCTAGAGGCTTCTCAATTGCATGTTCTAGAAACCCGTGTTTTATACGACGCTCAAACTGCTGTTGCTGTGACAGGTCAATTAATGGAGTTTGATATAACATTTGATCAAAAAGTTGGTCAAGGAGCTCCATTTGAATCTGATAAGCAAGAAATTTGCGCAAGTAAAAGCAATCAATTATCAATAAGCAGTGACAATGAATTTACACAAAATTCTGGCACTGTTACTGATCATGTTAATAATCAAAACCATAATATATCTTCGGAGAAAATAAAAATTATCGATAGTAAACAACTTATAAAACAAGAATATATGCCTTCTCATAATGCTCAAGTATCTGTAACAAGAGAATTACCTTGTAATAACCAGGAAGAGTCTTTTGAAATTTTAGATAATAATATTAGGGAATCACAGACAAGTTCAATTAATCAAGACAATGAAAACTTTCAAAACAATGAGTACTTTAAAGAGGATAAGGAGAAGAAAGATTTCAATCAATTAAGTAATGATTTGGTTTGTGAAAATAAACGTGTACAGCTAAATAAAAGCGGCTCTCAAATCACCTTTGATGAATCTAAAAGAAAATTAAACGATGATCAAGATATGTTAGAAAAGGAAGAGAATAAATTGCCAGTAAAAGAAATGAAATCGGAAGAAAAAAATCTAGCTGTAGAACTAAATAAAGGAGATAAAGAAATTTCAGTAGAGTGTGGCGATAAGAAGCACAGTGAAATTAATGTAAATGCAATACAAACAATTGACGCCTTATCAAATGATATTAAAATACATTCGAAAAGTAGTGAATCAATTAATCCATCTCAAGGTACGATTGATCAAGAAAAACCAGAGAAAGGTTACCAAACTATTTTTGAAAAATCAAAAGAAAACAAGGAAATAAACCTAGAGTTGGAAATGAAACCAGAAACAATAAAACAGATAGCCGAGCATTCACAGGACTCTGCAGAAATTAATAATTTTATGCAAGAGCAATTCAAAGCAATCACTGGAATAACGATGGATAGTGATAAAAGTTTGCATGTTGACATTGACAAAAATGATGACCTTGCATTAAATGACACACGAACACTATCAGAAAGAAGTCAGTCAAGTGATCTATGCCAAGGCATACTTAATCATGAACAAGGTAAAATACAAACAAATGAAAATAATCAAAATATTTTGAATATACCTGAAAAACATGAAACATTACAAGACACAGAAATTAAATCTGATGCAAAAATACAAGAAACAGAACAGTCACAGACTGCCGTAGAAATTAATAATCATATATCAGAACAAAATAAATTAAATACCAAAATCACTACAGATACTGATAATTTAAAGCATGCAGAAATGAATAAAAATGACATGCAATCAATTAGTGACTTAGCCACAAATGGAGCAAAAATGCAGTTGGAAAGAAGATCCATTGAACTATCTGAAGATAAGATTGAACAAATACTAGGTAAAAGAAAGTCGAAAGATGATGGTGAAACTATTTTAGATAAATCAATAGTAATCGAGAAAGTATTAATAAAAGAAGACAAAGAATTTGAAACAAAAATACTAGAACCAGAGCAACCACAAGACCCTGTTGAAATCAATAGTAATATAATACAACAAAATAAGGAAAATATCGATACAACTGTTGATAGTGATTCCATTAGGCACGTTGAAGTAAATAAAGGTGAAGCACAAACAAATAATGGTATAGCCATAAATGGAGCAATAAGGCAGTTGGAAATAAGTCAATCGATCGAACCATTTGAAGATAAGATTAAACAAGAACAAGATAAAAGAAAGTCGAAAGATAATGATAAAACTATTTTAGATAAATCAATATTTATCGAGAAAATAGTAATAAAAGAAGACAAAGAATTTGAAACAAAAATACTAGGACCAGAGCAACCACAAGACACTGTTGAAATCAATAGTAATACGGTACAACAAAATAAGGAAAATATCGATATAACTGTAGACAGTGATTCCATTAAGCACGTTGAAATAAATAAAGGTGAAACACAAACAAATAATGGTATAACCACAAATATAGCAATAAAGCAGTTGGAAGTAAGTCAATCGATCCAACCATCTGAAGATAAGATTAAACAAGAACAAGATAAAAGAAAGTCGAAAGATGATGATGATGAAACTATTTTAAATAAATCAAAATTAAACGAAAAAGAAGTAAAAATAGAAGACAAAGAATTTGAAACAAAAATAATAGTACCACAGCAAGCACAAGACACTATTAAAATAAATAGTAATATAATAACACAAAATAAGGAAAATATCGGTATAGCTGTAGGCAGTGATACTATAAAGAATGTTGAACTTAATGCAAATGACATACAATCAATAAAGGATTTAGCCATAAACGAAGCAATAAGGCAGTTAGAAAAAAGTCAATCGATTGAACCATCTGAAGGCAAGATGAAACAAGAGCAAGATAAAAGAAAGTCGAAAGATGATGATGAAACTATTTTAGATAAATCAATATTAATCGAGAATATAGTAATAAAAGAAGACAAAGAATTTGAAACAAAAATACTGGAACCAGGGCAACCACAAGACACTGTTGAAATCAATAGTAATATAATACAACAAAACAAGGAAAATATCGATATAAATGTAGACAGTGATTCCATTAAGCACGTTGAAGTAAATAAAGGTGAAACACAAACAAATAATGGTATAACCACAAATATAGCAATAAAGCAGTTGGAAGTAAGTCAATCGATCCAACCATCTGAAGATAAGATTAAACAAAAAGATAAAAGAAAGTCGAAAGATGATTATGAAACTATTTTAGATAAATCAAAATTAATCGAAAAAGAAGTAAAAATAGAAGACAAAGAATTTGAAACAAAAATACTAGAACCAGAGCAACCACAAGATCCTGTTGAAATCAATAGTAATATAATACAACAAAATAAGGAAAATATCGATATAAATGTAGATAGTGATTCCATTAAGCACGTTGAAGTAAATAAAGGTGAAGCACAAACAAATAATGGTATAGCCACAAATGGAGCAATAAGGCACTTGGAAATAAGTCAATCGATCGAACCATCTGAAGATAAGATTAAACAAGAACAAGATAAAAGAAAGTCGAAAGATGATGATGAAACAAAATTAATCGAAAAGGAAGTAAAAATTAAAGATAAAGAATTTGTAACAAAAATAATAGTACCAGAGCAAACACGAGACACTGTTGAAATCAATAGTAACATAATAACAGAAAATAAGGAAAATATCGGTATAACTGTAGACAGCGATACTGTAAAGAATGTTGAAATTAATGCAAATGACATGCTATCAATAGAGGATTTAACCATAAATGAAGCAATAAGGCAGTTAGAAGAAAGTCAATCGATTGAACCATCTGAACATAAGATTAAACAAGAAGAATATAAAAGAAAGTCGAAAGATGATGATGAAACTATTTTAGATAAATCAATATTAATCGATAAAGTAGTAAAAAAAGAAAACAAAGAATTAGAAACAAAAATAAAAGTACCAGAGCAATCACAAGACACTATTAAAATAAATAGTAATATAATAACACAAAATAAGGAAACTACAGATATAACTGTAGACAGTGATTCAATTAAGCACGTTGAAATTAATCAAGGTGAAGCACAAACAAATAATGACATAGCTGAAGCCATAACACAATTAAAAATAAATCAATCAAACGATCTACCAATCGATACGATAGATCAGAAACAAAATAAAACAATGTTGAAAGACGATGATGAAATCGTTTTAAGTAAATCAAAAGGAATCGAGGGAAAATTCAAAGAAAAAGAAATAAATGAAATGCAATCAAATAATAACTTGGCAACAAGTGAATCACTAATGAAATTAAAAAGAAATCAAACAATTGACCTATTACAAGGCACCATTGATGAAAAACATGTTGATATGACAAGAATGGCAAAGGAAGATGACCAAAATGTTGTTCATGATAAAGGAATCGACGAGAAATCAAAAGAAAAAGTAAAAGAAAAGAAAATAATAGAACAATCAATAGAACATCCCCAGGACATTGTAGTAATTAATAATAAAATGTTGGACCAAAATATCGAAAGCGCAGGTATCACTTTAGACAGTAATGCCCTTAAGTATGATGAAATTAATAAAAATATTAAGCAATTGACTGATCTGACTGACCTAGAAGCATGTGATGAAAGTATTCAATTTAAAGAAAGTCAGGCGAGCATAGCAGATCTTGAAGATAGTAAAATTTATAAAACAACTAACGAAAACGAACAAACTGAAAATGTTTCGAGTCATAAACTACTCGTAAAAAAAGAAGAAACACAACTGCCCCTTAAATTGGAAAATCCAATGCTAAGCGATAACGCAACACTACATCAAGAAGAAATAGACAAAGAGAATACTAACGTAAATGAACAAAATGATCATATCAAAACGAATGACAGACAAGTAGATAAAGTAGCAACAAATACAGAAAGGGAAAAGGAAAGTGAAAATAAAGATTTAAAAAACTCAATAGAAATTATTACAAAACATCAACACCAAAATACAAGTGATGAAAAACAAGATATCTCAAAATATGAAACTGAAACAAAAAGTCAAGCAACGGAGCAGTCACAAAGCTTCTCAGCAATAAATAATAATGTTACAGATCAAATAAGAGAAAGGACACAAATGTTAGATGGTAATAGCCTTAGTGAATCACAAGAAAATAAGAGTGTTAACAAGGAAGTATCGAATTGCAATAGTATTATAGAGGTCAGTAAGTCAGAAAAGGAACCTGATAAAATATCAGTAAAAGAATTGGAAGAAAAAACAAGTTGTTTTGATTCTGTGGAAAGTGAAGAACCCTATTTAAATTTACAAAATGAAGCAATATCGAATATGGTAAAATCGATGCAGTGGTCTCAAGATGACTTGAACTTACAGGAGATTGAGAAAATAAATGAAATCTTGAATATTAAAGATACATTACCCGAGCTTTTAACTAATTTGGACGATTTAAAAGAAGTTCAAGAATCTCCAGACGAAGAAACAATTGAAATTAAATCAGTTAATATAGAAAACACTGATTTGATTATAGATTTTGAGCGTAGAGAATCTCAAAGGGATAAAAGTGGTGATAAGACGCAAGTGGAAGATTCAGCAAGCTTATTTACTGCTAATAATGTAACAGAGCTCACTAAAGAACATATCGCAACTGATCATGTAACAGAAGATATTTCTGAGACAAAAATTAAAGACCAAAGTGAAAAAAATGCATTTCGTCCTGAAAATATTAATGAGTGCTCTTTGAATGAAGCGAAGATTAAAACAAAAAATATTGAAGAGAAGGTAAGAGAGGAAATAAATGATTACAAAGAATCCATGAAAGGATTGGAAATATCTTTTAATAATCAAATAAATGTAAGCCAAAATAAACGAACTGAATTTAATTTAGGTCAATATTCTCGGAGTAATGAGTTTTTAAATACCATTACGGAATGCGAACCAAAAGAAAAAAATATATTGGTTGATAGTTCAAAGGTCGCTTGTGGACCGGTCTGCGATTATTCTATTGCTGAAATAAATATGGGACAGATTCAGACATTTTATAAAGTTCAGACTATTGCATATGATTCGCAATTTAGGTCATCATTACCTCCGGGTTATGAAGATACCAAAAATATTGAGACTGTTGAAAGAAATTCTAAAGATAATCAAATTTCCAAAGCTCAAAGTGAAGCTCGAAGTATTACCACCCAAAAGCGGTCTTTACGAGATGTTAAAAGGAAACCTGTTTTTTCAACATATCTTACAGATAGAACAGCAGTAGAAGGTTCTAGAGTTAAACTTACTTGCAGTGTTTTAGCTTCATCAGAACCGATCATATTATGGTATAAAAATGGGGTACCGCTCGATGATAAATTAAAATATAGAACTAAATACATAGATGGATTAATAACAATGGAAGTTCTAAATGCAGTGCCAAGTGACTCTGCTGAATATAGTTGTACAGTAGAAACGGAAAATGGGTCAGTTACCACTTGTGCTAACTTAAAAGTGTATCCCAGTTTTGAAGCATCTCCTATACCACCTACATTCACCCGCTCTATAAGAGGTAAGAGTTTATTATAAACTACAATGCAATTATTTCTTTATGTACAACACCATGTATAACCACATACTTGTGGTATGTGGTTATACGTATAACCGTAATTTAAGAAACTTTGTTATATAATTAATCTGATCTAAAAAACCATTTTAGATACGTATCATTTAGCAGAAAATGAATTAATCTTAGAATGCAGAATCAGGGGACAACCATTGCCTACTATTACGTGGCTAAAAGACGATAAACCTATATCTTCATATGAACGATACCAAGCATATTATTTAGCAGATGGTGTTTGTAGATTGGTTATCAATTCCCCCTGTCCCGAAGACAGTGGAAAATACACGTGCAAAGCTGATAACTCAATTTGGTCAGACCAAATAAGTCATATTGTCATCTTTTCAGGTATTGTATTATTTTGTATTTAAATTAATATATGAATTATTAACTTGGTAATCAAAAATGTTTCAATAACAGGCTCAACGCGGCCGGGATCTAATACAACGAACTGGGAAACATCTCGAATTGATCATCAAATTATAGAAGGACGACGACCTCATTTTACTAACGTTTTAACTGATTACAAAGTGTCTAAGGGAGGAACGATTGGTTTGCAAGTTGAAATTAAAGGATCTCCAACAAGAGTAGAATGGTTACGTGAGGGACGTTCCATAACTGAAATTTACAGAAATGCTGAGACATTTGTTGATCATGGTTTATATACGTTAGCATTATCTGATGTAACTGAGAAAGAGTCTGGTGTCTATACATGCAGAGCGTGGAGTAAGAATGACAAAGTTGATATGAACGCTGCTATAACGGTTGTTCAACCAAATGAAATTGATGGTAAGCCTGCAGTCATCATTGGAAGACCCCAAAAGGATGTTCTCATATCGGTTGGTGCAGATATAAATATATCTTTCCGAGTCCACGGCGAGCCTAAGCCTAAAGGTAACTTTCGTATGATTCCTCGTATCTACTTTTACTAGCATATAAAGTTTCAGTGCATTTACTAGCATATACGATAAACAAAATACTTTATAAATAAGTATTACATTATTTTCAAATGATATTTTAATTCTATTTACCAATACTGTTAGCATCTGTAATATTATTATTTCTTAAAATAATTAATAGAAAAATTAGTTTCTCAGCTTCGAAAGTTTATATGAAGAAAATTGTAATAAATAAAGGTGAATCAGCATTTTTTCTATATGATGGTTAATCAAATTTTAGTTTAAATATATACATATACATCTATAGCTGTGGTAGCTCGGGGACAGAACTCTCGCAATTTTTCAAATCACTGAAATAAAATATTTCGACATTAATTCGGTAATTATTCTAATTTACCAGTGAGTGATTTGTTTATACACACACATGGACAATTATATAAGTCAAACTCTATGATCAAGTTCTTACATCTTCTATACCCTAGTAGTAACCTTATTCTGAGTTGATAATAAGTCGCCGTGATACTCGCCCTGTGGTGGTGGCATAAGAAAATCCATCGCCCCATATCGTTCCGCAAGTTACATAAGAGGCGACAAATACCGAGAATCTAGTAGCCATATAGCCATATCGGTATAATCACCTCTGTTTATACCAGATAATAATCCCAAGACGGTGACAGAAGCAGCGTTAAAAATAAGAGACCTGTAGTATTAAGATCACCAATCCACCTCGAAGAGTGGCGATTACAGTAAACTGTGTGTATTGAGATATATATATATATATATATATAGATTATATATGAGAGAGCAATGGACTGTTTATGGACTTATGAGAATAAAAATTTAAGGCATCATAGGTCTAGTGGTTAGTGTTCTTAGTTGTTACTGAGAGATAACAAAGAGGTTTAAATATATAGGTTACTACTATTACTTAAATGTCTTTGGCTGATCATGAGATTCCGGCTTTGAATCCCAGGTCGGGCCAAAATGAGTGATTGGGTTTCTCTGTCAAAAATTCTCAGTAGTCAGGAAATTGGTGGTGTTTCATCCCTCTGAAAGCACGTAAAGCAGTTGATTCTATTCCTAATCTCTTTCTGGTTGTGTTGATTGCCGTTCCATGGACTTTAAAATGAGGTATAGAAAGTACATCTGTGTACTATAATGCTGTCCTGCGTTGTTGACGACTCTCAGTTGAGACATTTTGAAATAATTAATACATTACTACTAATAATAATTAATTCATTATTGCATTTTAATTTTGTTTTATTTTTATTTTGTTCATGCAGTGACTTTCATGAAAGGTATTCGTGACATAACAAATAGTCAACGAGTTTGTAAAATGACATCTGATGATTACGTCAAGTTCACCTTAAAAAGATCTGTTGTTTCGGACGCTGGCACGTATTGTATTTTTGCTAGAAACGCCTATGGTTGTGATAGGGCGTTTGTAACCGTTGCGGTACGTACTATGTTATATGTTAGTTTTTCTGGATAAATTTGACATAACAAAAATTCCAATTTATCATTTTCAGGTGAGACAACGCGCTTCATCTGAAAATTTGATATCTGATTGGACTTATCCTATCGATGACTCGGCGATGACGGTCGCTAAACAACGGTTTAAATGTATGTTTGAAAATTAATGTAACACATTTTCTTTGTTTATTTTTCACGAATCTCTCCCCTATGTTTTAATTAGGTATACTATGTATGTCCATTATTTGCTATAAATCAATAGGTGTATGTTTATCAAAATGGTTCAGAATAAGTAATATAGTCAAATGGTGATGAAGAAAAATTAATTGAAATAAAATCTCAAACATTCTGTCCTGTTTATCTTTTAAATTCAAAATGCGTGGTAATGCATTATTTTAACTAATTTTACTGCGCGCACACACATTCGTAAGAATCGAGCCGTAGGCAAAAACGTTGTTGTCCATTAAACACATTCAATTTGGGATAATTTCAAATAAAATTAGAAGCCTTATTTACTCGTATTTTCAAAAACCGCAATCACGGTTTACCATTATTTATATAATGGTATATCGTGGTATATATAATACTATTAATGATAAAATGCAACTATTAATGATTTTTTTTAATCGATTGCCTTACAGTAAGTACCTAGATATGTAGTAATTGAACGTTATAAACTTATTTTACGGGGTTTTCACAAAAAAGACCGCTTTAATAAAACTGGCTGTGGATAACGTTGATAAGATAAGATAGTAGGGATTTAAGGTATATTATATAAAGGGTTATTTTGCAATAAACGCCCAAATTTGCAGAGAAGGTTCATAATAAGTAATACAGGCGAATGGTGAAGAAAATTAATTTTAAAAAATCTCAAACATTCTGTTCTTTTTATCATTTAAATTAGGAATGCATTATTTTAACTGATTGTCTTTCATAAATATCTAAAGTCTACTATTTTACTACGCACGCACACATTCGTAAAGGTCACTTGGTAAGCAAAAACGTTGCGAATTGGATCGCCATACAGAGGAGCGCGAGTTTTTTTTATAGTAGAGGGGGCAAACGAGCATACGGCTCACCTGATGGTAAGTGACTACCGCCGGCCATGAACAACTGCAACACCAGGAGAATTGCAGATGCGTTGCCGGCCTTTTAAAAAGGAGTAGGCTCTTTTCTTGAAGGTCCCTAAGTCGTATCGGTCCGGAAAAATCGCTGGTGGTAATCGATTCCACAAGGAAGTTGTGCGAGGAAGAAAACATCTTCTAAATCGCACAGTGGTGGACCGCCAATCATCCAGAAGGTATGGATGGTATCGCAAGCTTTTTCGCGATGTACGATGGTGAAATTGACCTGCTGAAATTAGTCCGAATTATTTCTCAGAGCACTGCCCGTGGTAGATGCGATAAAATACGCAAAGAGATGCAACATCTCTTCCCAGCACCAGTGAATCGAGCCAATCGGAAAGGACTCGGCCGTCGACGATTCGAGTCGCTCCGCGCTGGATGCGTTCTAGTAGAAGGAGCTGGCACTGGTTGAGCCCCAGCCCAGAGATGGGAACAGTATTCCATATGAGGCCGAACCTGCGCCTTGTAAAGTTGCAGGTGGTGTGCCGGCATGAGATAATGTCCCGCTCTGCTGAGCACGTCAAGCTTTTTAGAGACCAATTTGGCCTTCTCTTCCAAGTGACCACGAAACTGCACGTCACTCGATATATCGACGCCGAGGATTCCGATACTGGCTGAGGCAACAAGGGGAGTGCCTTGAAACTGATGAGATATGACAAATACTTACTTAGGATTATATATATTTCTGAGGATTAAACTGGACTAGATTTGTAACTGCGAGTACACGTATTTGTTGTCCAGAAATTACATTCAATTTGGGATGAATTTTCAAATAAAATAGAAGTCTTATTAACTTAAATATAAAATTTGTATTTGAAAAGTAACCCTGTATAAGTTGCAGAAAATCCGAAAAAGTAAATAAATAAATATTGCTGACGTATTCACCATCCAGATCCCCCATGTCATCAAAAATAAGCAAATCAAAGACCCCCCCTCACCCAAAACTGCTCGAGTAGCCCCTTGTAATAAAAAAAATAAAACCTTCATATTACGAGTATTTATTAGGATAAAGACATTACTTAACTAACGGTGAGTAAACCTGCCAACGCGTTATTTGACTGAAATAAGAAAGTGAAATTCATGAGTAAAATGCATTGACAAAGTGTCTCTTTTTATATTCTTTCGAATAACTTCCTACTTCAGTATCATTCCTATAGCTCTGTTTTTGTATTTACCGTTATGTTATATTATTTAAAATATTTTTATTTAATACGTCCGTATTAATTTAAAATGTAGGTATCTACATAGTTCAAAGTGTGGCTTGGCAATACATCAAGTGCTATTAAGGTCATTACCGTGTCAATAATTAGATTTGTTTCAGCTGTGCCTAATCGAATCCCGGGAGAGCCGAGTGTAGTGGACGGTGGAAACAACTGGGTATCTCTGGCTTGGCCAAAGCCTGATTCTCAAAGTGGGTCGTCTGTGACAGCGTACAAAGTTGAGAGTTGGTTACTTGGAAAAGAAGGTGGGGCTCGTTGGACAGAACTTGGTATAACACCGTTGAACTCCTTCGACGTTTTCAACCTTAAGCAAGGGGAAGAGTACCATTTTAGAGTAACTCCACGAAATAGATACGGTTGGGGAGAATCAGTGCAAACAACGTCACCAATCGGAGTCGGTCTAGCTGGCGATAGACCCGAGTTTGTTGATATTCTACCTGGACAGTTAAAAGTATTGGTGGGCGAAACGGTAACCTTAAAGTGCAGTTTTAAAGGAAAACCGATTCCGGAAATTGTATGGATGAAGAATGGACACGAGATTGATGAAGAAGACAGTCGATTAAAGACCTCCTTAAATGGGAACGACTGTTGCCTAACTATTAACGATGTTAGAATAGAAGATGAAGCAAGGTACAGTTGTGAGGCCACAAATGTACATGGAAGGACATCAACCTACGCGAGAATTGCAGTTATCACGGACCGACTTATATGGGAAGCAGATGCTAAACTTAAGAGGTAACTTTGTTTTTATTGGTTTGTCTTTGCATATGTGACTTTATTTTTAAAAATTTTAATTTTAAATTTGTGATAAACTATAAGCATTTCCCGGGTAAAAAAATATTAAACGATTCTTCGTTCTTGATGTACTTTATTATTTAAATAAAATAAAAATAATAATGATGTAGTCTCATCCTTTTTGTAGAGAGAGATCAGCTGACGTCGGAGGAGAATACCCTCCACAGTTCACAATGAGATTACGTGATCGTCGAGTTCAGGCCACATATCCAGTCCGGTTAACGTGTCAAGTTGTTGGAAGACCACACCCTATCGTTACTTGGTTTAAAGATGGAGAGGAAGTGACGAATGACGGTAATATTAAAGTATTGACGATAATTTAATTGCTAATCAATATTTTTGATATTTTTTTTTACTTACCTACTATAAATAGAAGTCAGTGTTTGACCACAATGGCACTTGGAGGTATGTGGTGATTTATTGTGTATTTAAATAACTTCATACCCATTAATCTAACATCTTCCTGTCACATTGTACAGATGATTTTCAAACCTATACACAAACCCTCCTCTCTTATGATTGATCATAGCTTTAAAGCGCACCAATGCAGACTTAGCGCGTATTTATCAATGACTTAACGCTTATGGCCTAAATATCAATCTATTAAAAACTCACAATGTATTTCTTAGTAGTACGAAAATGTGTACAAAAATCCCCAAATGGTTTTTGATGGAAATATAATCCTTCTAAGCGATACAGTTCAAATCTTGGGAATTTACACGAACAGAAATCTCTCGCCTTGGGGTGCAACTGCGGGAAGTATGTCGCAAACTTTTTACTTTCACAGGATCCTAACGGAGATTACTAAATTTGCTCCCACGCCACTAAAATTGCTCTTGCACAGCCTCATCTTCTCCCAATTCTTGACTACGATGACGTCTGCTATCTGGACCACAGATTAGCAACTGTATAGGAGTTATTTTGCGCGTAATTGTTCGACTTTTTTCTGTACGAGATACTATTTGATATACAAAACCATATCAATAATAAAAGTCTTTTATCTTTTAAATAAATTGACTTGGCAATCGCACTAAACAATCTAATTGAATGTAATATGTATTACTTGAGAGATACATTGTGTTTTCATGTGATGGCTTCAAATTGGAAATTCAGGCTTCTAGTTTTATCCGCAACGAAGTTATAGGGTTACGAAAATAGCTTGAACTACTTCGAGAAAAGGATGGTACGGCCGTGCCGCTTTTTTGCTCGACTTGGCAGGGGCACTGCCGTGACCCCAGATGTTGAACTTCTTAAAGTGCATAGTAAATTTGAGTTATTATCAGGTAAGATACTCTTGGAGATGTTCCTGTTTCAGTTTCCTTCGGTCGCCTTATATGACATCCACGGAATGATTTAGGGTAGTATAGTTATTCTATTTCCCGATGAACCGATGAAGTTTTGACTTTGATTACATATTGTGTTAGTGTACTTAACTCCCCACTTTAAGCACACTAACACAATGTGTATGTGTCGTAAGCGCTTCCGGGGCCTACGCACAATAACACATATGTATGTGCACGACTAACAACAATCAAAGTCAAAACTTACCGTGAAATAGAATAGCTATAGTAGATTCTCTTATGCCGCCACTACATGGCAAACACAACAATAAGAATTAAAAATAATTAATTTCGAAAAGCTGTCGTTTTATGTAAAATAATAAAGAGTATATGAGTTTTATAAATAAATCGACGGAGAATGTAATAAATAATTAATGCATTAAATATAAAGTAGTTATGATGAATAAAGTATTTTTTTTTATATTATACACATAAAGATAATAAAATAGATTAATTAAAGTGCATTTTAGGATTTAATCTAGGTGGGTACTTTATATTTTGCGATTTTGACATAAACAAAAAATAACTCTGAGTTTAATTTATTCATCCAAACAATTAGGGATACTTAGAAAACAATTGAATTTATAAAACGATTTTGGTTATTATTTCAGCATATTTTACCAGGATGGATGCAGTTGGCTCACGACTTTGTTATGTGGTTCTCATTAAAAAACGTTAAGAGATTTGAAGAACTTCTTTTTTAATTACAAATGTGTTTTGTAGCACGCCATACGAAATCCCAAGACGAGCTCTTCCACACATTGGAAATTGCGCCCACGAACCTTGAAGACGGAGGTGTGTACGAGGCGATGGCACGCAACAACAGTGGTGCTATTAGCTGCCACTGCAACTTGGTGGTGGACAAAGGCATTAGAGCTTACGTAGCGCCGGAGTTCTGTTGCGGTCTTGAACCATTGTATGAAGTTTCTGTTGGTAAGAAATGAATATTTAATACATAAAATATTGCAGTAGTACGTGCATGGTTGTGTTGCGGTCATGAATAATTTAGAGAGCCAGTGTAATAACAACCCGTGAGGCATTCCATCTTAGACCTCAGAGGCGACAACGCATCTGCAGCATTCTTAGGCCAGTATTAATAAACGTTACTCGGCTCAAGTACACGCACTTGAGTACAATCTTGAGGTTATGATCTTATTAATAAACATATCTCAAGATCCGGCTTAGGTTTACGATATTAGCTGAGTGCCACGCTGATTAAGAAACTGAACTCTCAAGTGTGTGTACTTGAGTGCAAGTCACAGAACAGTATTCCTAAGTACAGCGTTTTGAGGTACTGTTTTTATGTGTTTATTAATTAGCAACGATCTTGAGATGCTGATATCTTAATGAGGCCGTATCAAATGATTATGCACTTCAGTTCGTCGTTGAGTAACGTTTATTAATACGGGCCTTTATTTATAGTTGGTTCTAGATGTCTATGGATTGTAGTGGCTTCTAACCATAAGTTCGTTTGTCACTTTATTTAAAAGTAATAAATGCTGTTAAACATACTCGTATGTTTATAGGCCGTGACTTTTGATATGAAAGTAAGGCGTTTGACTTAAATTTCATATACATAGGAACAGCTCGAGTTTTGATGTGATTGATTGAAATTTTTTACATGCATGTTAATTCCCACCTGCACATCTGATAGTTGAAAAGTATTTCGAAGGCATTTTATGTGTATATAAAGTCCACCAATCAAACCATAGCGTCGCGTCAAACGCTTTTCTACTCCAATACCTTCACAAAAATGGCAGATGGCCTGTACTCTACATGTTACAGGTCTACTGACTGTGATGGTAGGTTATCGTTTAAAATAATGATTACCTACTGAAAGCATTCTATATTTAAGATTGAACTATTGAAATAATTCAATGTCAATTACTTAAATTAATATTAATTTCTTTTGTAACTGTGATAACGAAACCAGATCTCTGTTATTGAAGGTCTTTCTTAGGTAATGTATTCGTATAACCTATCTAGTGGCTTAGTATACCAGTCAAAACTTATTAAATTGTAAGTGTATTATTAATTAATAATACTGAAATACACTAACAATTTTTAAGAGCAAAATATCTGTTATTGACGTGGAACAAGATTTAATTGATATTCTAATAGGCTTAATCTATTATTTAAATGTCCGTAATATCAATAATTTCAAAATGTTAATAATAATCAATGAAACATTTCCAGGTGACGAATTGAGAATATCGGCAGTGGTGGAAGCGTATCCTTCTGTTGGAGTGACTTGGTTCCGGGACGGAATCCGGCTCCGACCCAGTCGGCGCGCGGTTATGACACTGGATCATGATGGTCAGATCGAATTGGCGGTAGCGCACATCACTCAACGTGACGCCGGTATTTACACTTGTACTGCCTCCAATGAGGTTGGAAAGGCATCCACCTCGGGCAAGGTCGAAGTGTTGGGTGACAGCACAGAGGAGAGGAGTCAAACTATTCCAACTGTGATATGTCCGAACGTTCCGTAAGTTTAGTGGTTTTTTATAATGCATTTTTTTCTCTGAACAATACGTACGTACCTACAAGATTAAAGATTTGGTAGCCATGATTAATTTAATTAAGCGTTGAGAACTAACGTCGCAATGTTGCTTTTCACATTTAAATTACACTGAAAGTATTGCAAAACACTTTAAAAAAATATTTTATAAAAAATAAAATGTATCCTTATTAGGAATACAATTCCTAGAATATGTTTCGCATTTGTGTTTACTCCCGCTATTTTGTTTTCTGTTTACTTATTGTTTCTTTAACTTTTAATCTTATAACAATACTAACGATCCGGCCCGGCTTCACTCCGTACATTTCTGGGTCTCGACAACAGCGCCACCTACCGTATTCTATTGTGAATCTAAACCATTCTCGAATTAACTTAGTCACACACAAATTTTCATCAGAATCGGTCCAGGACCGATTCTAAAAATAATTATGACCATATTTTGCAGATATTCAAAGGAACCGATGTTTATACGAAAACCGAGGTCGAGCGAAGCTCGCGAGGGCGATACCGTTATTATAGAATGCGAGGTGATAGGTGACCCTAAGCCGGAGGTTTACTGGCTTAGAGACTTTTTACGGGTAAATATCCTTATTATTAATCATCTCTTTAACAGAGTTCATAAAACGATAAGGTTCTATATTCAACTGAATCAATTCACTGAAACAATAGAATAAAACTTTTTTTTATTGAATAAAGGTGACAAAAGAGCTGATGGTAAGTGGATACTGTGACCCTTAGCCATCTACATTTATCCTAGATTAAGAATCAAAATGTATGACTTAGATGGAATGTCTCATTCTCAGTAAAAAGAGTCACGGGTTTACTAAACTCACCATACAAAACACAGCAGCTTTAAGCTGCTGTTTTACGCTGGTATTCTGTGAGAGCGTGGTCCTACTGTGTATTCAATTACAATATAGATTAAAAGAATATGTACTTGTTGAAAATTGTTTATGCTTTTACCAATGCTCCGGAAAAAATCTATCCTGGGTAGGACCAGTCAAAACACAGACAGACTATTTTGTGAATAATAATTTACAATATAAGTAATATTATAATTATAATATAATATATAGAAACAGAAGAAGTTTTGATTTTTTAATGGACCTATTTAGAAGATGTGGCGGGTGGAAGGAAAAGGGGAGATCTCCCGCCGGGCAAGGTGTTCTGCCCGGGGAGCGGCCAACGCTCCAATTGTTAGTTCGGAGCTATTCTATATACCTATACTGCTTCAATTTCGCAACTTTGTTAGCGCGATTTAGGCTTCGATGTGTTTCGCTTGTGGTGCGACGACAGCACCGCCACAGAAGACATTTGTGTTCTTCCCTTGAGCTTGTGATAAAACATAAAAACCGACTTCAAAAGTTAAAAACAGTAAATAATTTTCACATAATAGCTACTGAAGTTCGAGATTTAATTTTTCGATACCTAAGGATGTCTTAGGACTGATTTCAAAGACTGCAAAAAAGATAAGTCTAGAAGAATGTTTTGTGAACAGTTATGTCTAAAAATGACTTTTGATGGTCGATTTTAAATGATAGAGACAACTTCTGACTAGTTATGTATAGATATATTAAAGTGTGAGACATACAACAAACATAGTTCCTACTGATGCCCAATGCAAAATTTTGAAATAGAAATTGTTTGTTTATTCTATTTTAATTATAAACCATACTAATTTTAAAGTAATTTTAGGTATAATTTACCATTGGTTCGTAAATCTTAGGAAGAATTAGCAAGAGAGGCAGCGGGACTTTTTAAAATAAATACAATTATATATTATGTTGAATAATATAATACACAAATACTATTAGAAATATCTTGTTAGCGATCACCTTTTCCCAAGGGTTATTATTATCCATGTTCCTTAGTATTATTATAAATCTGCCATATAACGTTACGACCTTTATAACGTTAGGGAATCCAAGCAAAGTAAAAACATAGATTTTTCATAAATGTGGACTCCGGTTAAAAATTGAACCTTGAAACTGATACGTGTTAATTTGGCACTCCGAGCACTACTGACTACGCGGTGGTCAACCATAAGAAATACATGTTCAACATTACTGTCGTGTAAGCTTCCGCCGTAAGTTTCATGTTACGCGAGTTATTCGGTTCGATCCCTGGCAGCACCAATGAAATGATTAGTAGAAACTTTAAGTACTGATTGACTACATGATTATAATAGTGGTAAAATTCGCAAGATGAGTGCTACTATTTCTTTTATGACGGACATAATAATTAACTTTCATTTTAATATTTAATCTAAATGTAGTCTTCAAATATACCTGTATATGTATATGTAGCTTTATTAACTGTTAATGATGTAGTTTTTATTATTTTTTTAGCCGGACTATTACCGTGATGCATCCCACTTTAAACGCGTCGGCGCTGGTCCTGAATACCGGTTCGAGATACCACACGCGAAACTCGACTTCACTGGGGCTTATTCAGTTGTGGCCAGGAATATATACGGCGAAGCAAAAGCTATTATATCCTTGCAGATATTAGCCAAAGGTACACCGCACTTGACTACTGCGAGCCTGACAAAACTTTTACTTTTAAGTTTTTCCACTTCATTACAAATTTATGACATAAAGTGGTACAATTATTTAATTAAAAATTCTAGAAGTTATTTAAAACTGTAATAGTTATTTATTAGAACTGTAAGACACAAAAATTTTGAAATATAATGATTTATTTTCGCCGACAAATTTGGACAATTGATAAGTACTTTTCTTGTCTCTGTATATCTGCTTATATAATTTTTTTTTTACTTCGTTACAGTTTTAATGAATATATTTCGTGTCTTATCCTTTCAGACCCCACTTCTTCAGAAGAAACACACAACATTAGATATGGGTAAGTTAATCAATTCATATGCATTATAAATTCACGAATGTGTATAGAATTGAAGTTAAGATTCTCGAGATTTACGAGTATTCTTGGTAATCATGATGCAATTGTATTATGACTGTCCAAGTTGACTCTGTCTAAAAATCGCAGAATATTAGCGAGATACGGCAGAATAATGCTACTGCGTTTTATAATATTAGAGATGAGAACCGGAGACCCTTACTAGTAACGAGACATTTCATCTTAGTCCTCACGGGTAACAACACATTCTGTATTTTATTCTTGATTGAATCAACCTTACTTTAACAGATAAAAGGAAAGGAGGTTGTTAATTATATTGAATATATTAAATAGTAGTTTATTGTTGAACTTTTATGTGTTTTCAAAATATACAAATAAGTCTACAGTTCGCTCATTTCGGAAACAATATCTATAACATTGTTATAAAACATTTTACAGATTGTAATTATAATTTATACAGTTATATTTACGTTAGTAGTTAGTAAGTTAGTAGTAAGTTCTGCACATTCCGGTACGTGACCCGATGAGTTTTACTTCGAAATTACTACGACGTTTTACAGTGTAAATATAAAATGTATTAATTATTCTACTACAGCTACCTTTTTGGTACAAATAAAAGTAATTTCAGTCCATAAAATATAGAATTTGTAAGGAACTTGACTGTAGCATCATCTATCGGATCCTAGCAAATTACTGCTATGGCGTGATCGCGGAGCAGGAAGAAATTCAAATTATTAAAATTCATACAAATGGGAACTTTAATGACTTGAGAATAAACTCGATTTTCAAATCACAAATACTGTTCAAAAGGCCCTAAAACTATCTTAGTTGCTACAGAAATAAAACTTTTTATGATGGGAATTAAGTTTAAAAATGCAAAACAATAAAGAAAATCCTGCTCGCGCGACCGTGCTTTAGCAATGAACTATCGTCTCGCCAAAAGAAATATAATCTACTAGCTGTTACTCGACGCGTCGCTACCGCAGAAGAAATAATTGAGAAAATGTGGTTTTAAATTTGTAAGTTTTTAATAAATTTGTCGATACGATACTCGTACGCTCGCCACCTGCTGTAGGTTAATTGTACTATGGCTATAACCTTCGCGCAAGTGCAAGCAAAAAGTTGATAAAGTCGTCCCGAAGCTAACGATCACTAACAAACACACTAAGGCCCGTATTAATAAACGTCACTCAGCTCAAGTACACGCACTTGAGTACAATCTTGAGGTTATGATCTTATTAATAAACATATCTCAAGATGCGGTTTAGGTTTACGATATCATCTGAGTGCCACACTGATTAATAAACGAAACTCGACTCTCAAGTGTGTGTACTTGAGTGCAAGTCACAGAACAGTATTCCTAAGTACAACGTTTCGAGATACTGTTTTTATGTGTTTATTAATTAGCAACGATCTTGAGATGTTGATAACGTAATAAGGGCGTATCAAATGATTATATATTTGAGTTCGTCGTTGAGTAACGTTTATTAATACGGGCCTTACAAACCTAAACATATTTCTGAAATAATAGTACCTACTAGTATGTCGTAAACGCCATCTGTCTGAGGCCATAATGAGGGCATTTACGACTTTTTCTGCCACCAGGGCGGCGCCATTAGAAAATGAGGTTATAATAGTTGACAGATTTCATAGCGGGGAAGTTAATTTGTTCGGAAAAGGTAAAAGTTATTGTTTCTTTTTGAACTATTAGCTATATTTTATATTAATAACATTAAAAATAAATAAACCAAACCATAGATATTCATAAAAGTAGAAAAATTAAAAAAAATGTTAGAAATGTGCAAAAATTTAAAGAGCTAACCACTGATGCATTGTTTTGTGTATTAATATAATGTTCTAGAAACAAACTTTTATTAAAAACACCTTTCAATTAAATTACATTGTGTGTTTACCTCAGTGTCAGCTAGCGCCATCTGGTGAGCAGAAAATTATTAGCCCTCATTAAGACCTATTTATCATATTCCGTAGCCGTTTCTTACGATATCCACGCAATGAAGTCGTGTAATGTCTTTCTTACGCCGGCACCACACGACAAAAATAAAAAATAAGTATTAGATGTAAGAGATATGAGAATAATAATAAATATTGTATGTACGTAGCATAAACCACTTAAATATATTATGTAAAATATGAAAAACAAATTATTTAAGCACACTTAAACCATTGCAGACGGGTCGAGGTGATCCCCCGTTTTGAAAAAGAGTTGACAGACTTGCTGTCGCATGATGGTGATGCTGTGGAGTTCGAGTGCCGAGTGACAGGAAACCCCGAACCTGATATCAAGTGGTACCATTACACCGACGTAAGTATCGATAAATTTTCTTAGTATACTCTTGTAATTGCTGTGGTAATTGTGTGAATACAAGAATGGTTCTGTAATTTATAGTAATGTTGCAGCACAAATGGGTAGACTCGACCGGAGTGTTGCTGCTGTGTTTTGTATGGTGAGTGTAAAGAACCTGAGACACTTTTTACTGGAAACAAGGCATTTGATTTAAGGCCGATGGCGTTACCCCATCTGTTTTTTAATTATGATCGAGGATAGATGTATATATAGGCTATAGCATCCACTTACCATTAGGTGAATTGAGTGCTCGTTTGTCACTCTTATTCTATCAAAAATAGCACGTCTACGCTTATATTTCTTTCATTAGCGATCGTTCCTAGGCTTCAGAAGCAATGTTTAACAACGTATACCGCTGTTACAGTTAAGCCTAGGAACGATATTGGTTGGATAACTTTGTAGTTTTAGTAATTTTAGAACGTTCCCAGTTTTTTTTTAATATTTTTTTATTTGATAAATTAAAACATGCGAATGAAGTAGTAGCAGATATGGATTATATCGTAAAAATTCCCTATTACCTATTGCATTAAGGGAGAAAACAGAGATATACATTTATTTTGACAAAACCTGATAAACTCTCAGGGCTGACTTATAAAAGGTGGTTTTAGTTATACCCGTACTTACCTAGATTTTAAATGTTTAATAACCAAAGAAACATTTTGAGGTGGTATAAGAAACTTTTTAGCGCCCGAACGATTGCAATCAACATTTTTATTTCTATATAAAGCGATGACATTATAAAATAACCGGCCAAATGCGAGTCGGAATCGCGCATGAAGAGTTCCGTACCATCGTAAAACACGTTTCTAGTAATGGAGCCCTGTTTGATTTTATAATTTATTTTTATTTTTAATTTTATTATTTGTTGTTATAATGGCAAGTGAAATACACATTCTGTGAAAATTTCAACTGTCTACCTATTACTGATTATGAGATACATCCCGCGGACTGGCTGACGGACGGACGGACAAACAGCAGAGCCTTAGTAATAGGGTCCCGTTGGTTACTCTTTGGGTACGGAACCCTAAAATGACATCATAAAAATGCCCGGGCGTGAGGCGTATACAAATTTTTAAAACTTATAAGGCTCTTCCTGAAAATAATCAGGAAAAATGTTCGTAACGATAGTTATTAGATACCTACAGTTTGGTTTGAATATAAAGTATAAAGTAAGTAAAGTATATAGTATAAGAAATTTTATTGGCACAGATAATACGCGATAATTCCGACTTCGAAACGACTTATGAGCTCGGCACGGCGCGGCTGAAGATTAAGCAGGTTACGGCTGACGATGAAGGCACCTACACCTGCGAAGCATACAACAACCTCGGCAAAGCCAAGTCCAGCGCTTGCCTCGTTGTTTATCGTAAGTAAGCTTTTATGAATTTGATAAAATTCAAAATTAAAACAAGTCAATGATTGTGGTAGATCATGCCGTGTAAAGGCGGAAGAGGAGAATCTGTTACCCTACCTTATCCCGTGGCTGTACTAAAGTTCGTCTTGGATATATGTCCGTTAAATATAATGGTGTCCGATAGATGCCGAATCATCATTATCTTCGTGTAACACCAGATGTAATATAATATCAGACTCTTGTAAGTAAAGTTTAAAACTGATATCGGTTTAGGAAATAAACCCCCAGATGCAACTTGCAGATCTCACCTTAAAACTCGCTTAAAATTTCCATCTTTTAAAGTTCACTCATACTCCCGTTTATTCTCTATTGCACAAATACTCAAACCCTAGTCAATTTTAAGAAGCCTTTAAGTCTCGTGCTGTCACAGTTACTTTGACTCAAAATGATAGAGACAGCATACGACTTAACAACGTCTTAAATTGAGTAACGTTTGAATATTTGTACATATACCTACATAATGTCAGATTCTTATATTCACTTTGCCTAAATAAATAACCGCTACTCAATTTTAAGACGCCGTTAAGTCTCTATCACCTTACGTCAAAGTGATATGAGACTTAAAATTGAGTAGTGTTTGCATTTATATTTAAGCATTTTTCTTTCTGTTCGTGGGTGGTGGTTCTTGTATATGTTGGTTATTTATTTGTGGTTCTAGTATAACGTACGTGGTAGACCTATGTTGTAGCTATATATCATGGGTGCGGCACGAATGGCTCGGTTCGACCGGCTAGGCCCACGCTCTTACAGAATATCAGCGTAAAATACACAGTTTAACGCTACTGTGTTTTGTATGGCGAGTGTAGAAAACCTCTTCTTCTAAAAGAATCTTAGTCCTCGGGGATTTTGATTTCAGATCTCTACATTTTGATTACTAGTCGAGGCCCAATCTATCTGTCTATGCGTGTTTGTTTGTCATCCTTATTCTATAAATAAAAGGTGGTTTTAGATATATCGATGTATGAATGTGGTGTTATATAGATATAAGATTATTAAAGACCATTAATTTTATCAATTATTGGTATTTATAACAAAAAAAAAAGACTCAAAAAGTCCCTCTTGATTTTGCTCTCTATCTGTTCGTAAAGCTCCATCACAAACGGTTCAGTCATTCCGAAGATCCCCCTGAGCTTAATAGACGCTAGTTATTTTAATATCTATTACTGACAGTCACTTTAATTCTACTAATACCTATGTATAGATAAAAAGTAACTTGATTTAATTTGTAAAATGAGTAAAAGACCTTTATCTCTATATTTTCTATTTATCTATTTTATCCTTGATATCTATTATACTTAATTTATTTTCTCCATCATAGTTATCAACCATGAACACTAAATAGAATAACGTTTTTTTTTGAAGCTCCCGGTGAACCAAACACCCTAAGCCAGCGGTTGCGCCGCCCGCCCGCGCTGCTGTCGACCACGTCCACGCCACGCTCCACGCCACGCAGCACACCCGCCAGATCGCTCTCCAGAAACAGAACCCCCGGTCAGTATAACAATCTGTTTTTTAGCGTTCAAACATTAGCGTTACATGAATTTTAATTGTGCTCACTATTTAACAAAAATTATAAATAGCAATTACATTCTTTCATTAATTTGAACGTTGTTAATATGTTTTATTTGGCGCTAAAACTGACATTAGCATTATTACGAACGTATACATCGTACACTATTAGATAACTAAGGACTACTTCTCTTAATTTAAATGCTTTATTGAAAAGGTGAATAAGTTTTTTCAATACATTTACTTGGGAGTAAATGTATTGAAAAAACTTATTCACCTTCACCTAGTGGGCTATTACTATCATTTTCTTTTGTTTTGTAGAGGCGTTTTACATAAATAAATTGCACCTAGATAAACATTCGAATCCAGAATTATTTATGGCGGCATTCGAATTCGCGGCTTCATCATTTCGCAGCTTAATACATTACACACTAATTTAAGTCTTAAAATATTAAATATTGTTTTCTTCGATTCTTAGGTCCAGATATGCGAAGCCTCTGCAGCCCAGCTCGTGAAGTTGCCCCCAAATTCTATACGTACCCGTTTAATAAAGTTGCTGAAGAAGGGGACACCGTAGTTTTTCAATGCGCCGTTAAAGGCCTGCCCGCGCCTTGGATCACATGGGATAAAGATGGCGTCGTGATAACGCCATCATCTAGAATTACCATTAAAGAAAAGGACGAGATTTTAAGAATTTTGGAAATAGAGGAGGTTACGAGCGAAGACGTTGGTCTATATAGAGTGACATTGGAAAATGATTATGGTAGAGCAGAAGCTTCTGCGAGGCTGGAGGTGATATCTCAAAGAGGAAAGTTCTATGCTGGCGGTCGATCTTATAGTGCTTCTCCGAGGAGGTCACTGTCATACAGAAGAAGTAGGTACTCCCCACTTCCGAGACAAGACTGATAGTGAAAATTATTCAGAATCTCACCGAAGTCCACTGGCAGCTGAATTGATTTCCTATTTGAGATGTAAGTACGACTAAATAACATTATTGTAATATTTTTTTATGCAACAGCGAATTGGGTACCCACTCTCACTTATTATATTAAGTATATTTGTATGAGCTCAGCGAATGTTCTGCTAAAATAAATTCGCGTTAACTAAATTTAGAATTATAGAATGGAATTTATATGCGAAATATCTTATTGTTTTATGTGTTTATCGGAATGCGTATTAACAGTTATTTTAATAAAGCGTTTGTATAATTATATATGTTTATTTCAGATAAGACGGGAAAGGGCCGCGCGTGTAAGAGTAATAATGTTGTTTGTTTTATTATGTTTATTTATATGCATTTTACGTCACAATGACATATTAAACTTGTTTGCACATCTTCAACAGATGTTTGAAATTGTTTTTAGCATCACAGAGCAAAGAAACATTAAAAAAGAAAATGAAAGGATAGAAAAAATGATATCATGAGACATGCCATTTTGTAATGGCTATTTCGAAAGTACTTTAAGACCGTCAAGGGACTGGAGATTGTAATTCACGAAACGTGCCACTTCAAAATGGCTACTTTCGAAAATGTTAAAATCCGTTAAGAGACTGGAGATAATAATTTCATTGTTCTGTGTTTAGCAATGTTTTGTTTTTGTAAGCACTTATAAATAGACTAGCATTCATCGGTGCAAACTGAAAGACATTCTTGATCAATTATCAAACGAAATTTTGAATATCCGTATTCACTTAATATGAACTGGTATTCTTCAAAAAACTTCTTTTTTTTGTTATCAACATTTAGAAATAAGGTGTGTTGTTCCTTTATTATTGTCTAGTTTAACTTAGGCTTAATTTGCACTGACAAGTTAATAATGTTTTGTTAAACTTTAATATTTAAAAAATGCAATGTAAAAAACATTAATTTGAAGCTAATCTGTTACCAACATTGTCCAAAGTTATTAGCGCACACCTTCGGGTTATGTAGAATACATTTTATTACTAGTTTCTGATTGTTTTATTGATCTCCCTGATATTTTTCAGTAGGGCAATTGGTTTGCGTTCATAAAAAAATTCTACCTCGTATGTGAAATGAACAATAAGATTGAATTATTGAATTGCATTAAGACTGAACTCATGAACGTAGCTAATATTTTTGTCGCCTATCCTATACCCTGTTGAAACATTGGCAGAGATTGTTGACAGATTATTTCGAGTTGAGGACATTCATTTTTCAGGGTGACTAGATTTTGTAGGAGGTACCGAGTCCCAGTGTCCTTGCTGGCTACGCTCACGATTACTAGCTGTATGATGGAAGCATAAGACTCATCACGTTGAGGTCAAATGTCACAACTTAGGTCATCGTCATCGTCATACCAACCTATCAAAAGTTCGATGCTGAATATAGGCCTCAACACAGCTTGCTCAGTATGTGACATAGTTGGCACGCTGTGGCAACCACAGTTTCTTTTATTATTTTGAGTTTTATCAGGAAGATGCTGCTCTCCATCTCCTGTTTTATTTCCTTCTATCACCTCTTACCACACCCACAGGATGCTATATCGGGTAATGTATATCGGTTCGACTTAGGTAAATGCCCGAAAGTTTTTGTGATCTGTAATCCTCATTTACTTATACATCAGTAATATAGTGTCGGAGAGGGCTATGCTCGGCGTTTCTCTGCGCGATAGACTTAAAAATGAGGATATCCGCAGTAGAACCAGAGTAACCGACATAGCCCAAAGAATTAATATGTTGAAGTGGCGATGTGTAGGCCTTATAGCTCGAAGAACCGACAACCGATGGGGAAGAAAGGTTCTCGAGTGGCAGCCTCGAACCGGTATGCGAAGTGTAGGGCGACCCCCCACTAGATGGAGTGACGACCTGGTAAGACATGCAGGAAGTCAATGGATGCAGGAGTCTCGGGACCGTACTTTGTGGCATTCTTTGGAGGAGGCCCATGTTCAGCAGTGGACTTGTGAGGGACTGTAATGATGATGATGATAGTACCGAAACAAAAAGCAGTGTCGTATATATGAGACGTCTGGCTGCAGCTAATTTGCTTGAAAAAGATGACGATTATGTCATAAGAGGTAACAGAATTTGCCATAAACGCCATTTTTCCTTCTAGCAAGGAGACTCATTTTCAGTGGCTTTATTAGTCGGCAGATACCTAATCAAAAACAAGTAAGTATTTATGTAACATAGCGAAGAATATAAAATTATAGCAGTTCAAGCAATAAGCAGGCAGCTAAGCTAGCCATAATGAACCCTTGCGCCGAACTTAAGCAATCGCGCGCGGACTGTGATTCCGCTACTTTAAGTGTCTTGTTTGGGAAAACAAATGAATATTTCGACTTATTGTATAACAGATCATTAAAAAGAGGTCTTATACATGTCAAATAAAATAAAAACAGTTTATTTATTCGTTATTTTTTTATTTGTACTTAATAGAACAAAGGCCTATAAAATCACCATTATAAATCAACAAAAATAAAACAAAATGAAATTGTCTTTTTTACTACTTACAACTTGACTATAATTATCTTAGAAATAAATCACATTCATTGTCTATGGCACTGTGTAATAGGAACATGTAATTGGATGTTTGATGTCAACTAAACTTAATTAGGTCTAAACAATGAAAAACAGTGACAAAAGCATAAAAAAGAACATTACTTCTACACATGGCTGATGGCACAATCGGCGTGTGATCAATTCGCAACTTCTGTAGCACTTGACACGCCAGGCGCGTCACGAAATATTTGTTCACGGCTAAAAGTTGTCGAAAATCGGTGCCGCAGCGAATCGGTTAAACTTAACCTCATCAGTACCCCTGTGGTAGCAGGTAGTATTTATATAGAGTAGCAGCATCGACGATTTTAGGCTCCACGGACTTTCATGTATGAAAAGTGCTGGTAGGTTTTGCCGCCACGGTTATTTGAAGGATGTCATTCGTAGATCCCTTGTCTCTATAAATGTTCCCTCGGTTTTAGAACCGTGACTTTGGTACCTTGGGATAGTGGTAAATTCTAGCGTGGGATGCTACTTACGTGGCAGGTTCTCATCTCAGGTGTATTATACATTTTTTAGTCTGAGCAATATATATATACCACCAATATTACTCCAAAAAGTATAGTGTATATGTTACAGTCAAACAAGTCATAACCATGTTTGGTTGCAAAAGTTCTTTCAATATTTTGGCCGGCAACGCATTTGCAATTCCCCTGGTGTTGCAGTTGTTCATAGGCGGCGGTAGTCACTTACCATCAGGTGAGCCGCATGACCGTTTGCCCCTCTCCTACAAAAAAAAAAATATTTTAGAAGAATGAGTTTTGTTTGTACCGTTTAATGTTTTTTACCATATTTGTGTCTTTACTTCGTTGCTACTAATTAATGCTGTAAAAACCACATAATTCATAGAAGAAACAAAATAGCTAAGATTCTAGCGTTTAATCGTTTTATCACTTATTGAAAGATCTGTCACAACATTTTCTCTAAACGACCGACGAGTCGACTGTCCATTTTTATATACTTACGCATTGATATAGCAGCAATATATAAAAGCCTATAAGTTTATCTGGGTAGGTATCTATCTGCTCTTATTTATGCTATCGCTAAGCAATGTATATATATTTAATCACAGGTTGTAAATTGTTAAACGCAGTTTTCCATTACAACCACCTTCCACTAGGCGGACTGTTGTGACCTCCAATATCATTTTAATGTTGAGCCTCTCAAATATAATAAAAATGAATAAAATTGTGTGTTGAAAATGTTATTATAACAGCAATGAAAGATATTTTTTCGTCGTATACGTTTATTATTCTGTTTTAAGTAACATACATTAGGTACTTGAATATTCTTTAAAGTTTCACGAAGAAGCTTCTATTCTACATGAACAATAATTCAAAATGCGTTTCCTAATAAATGCAAAAGTGTGAAGTCATTTATTTTTCGCAGGTAGATCAAACAAGCACATCTACTACTCTTTGTTCTACGTAAACTGTTTTCGGATACCTATCTTCTTTTAGTTGGACGCTATCTGAAAAATGTAATAAGTAAGTAAGGTTAGTAATTTACTTTATTACGAAATTATAATTTGATCTTCTTCGAAAGTAATCGGAAATAATAATCCTAAATTGACAACATCACTGTACTTTAGGCATTTGGTACCCTTGTCCTAACGAGTCTACACATGATCATGTCAAACACGCCGATTACAAACGGTCTGCTTAATTTTTCAAAGAGTTAATAGGTTGATCAATTAGTTTAGTTAGAAAAAAAGGCTTGATCCTGGGACTCGAAAAAGGCCTCGACAGTGCACATCACCTCATCGTCGTCGAATTTTATTCCACGCCAGTGCTTTTTCAGGTGAATAAAAGGGTGAAAATCACTCGGAGCTAGGTCCGGAAAATATGGTGGGTGCTGCATATGTGAAACACATCAGTTCGGATGGCAGTGCCTGCACCATCAGATTGATGGACAGGGATATTATCATGATGCAAAATCACTCCAGCACGCAATTTCCTCGACGTTAATTCTTTGGTACTTTGCGTAGTTTTGGATTAATGAATGCGTAATAATATCCGGTTATTGTCTCTCCTATACTTAAATAGTTAATACCTTCCGCATCCCAGAAAACAGAGGCCAATATTTTCCCAGGGGACGTAGACACTATGAATCTCTTGGATGGCGGGGAAGACGTTATTTTCCATACCTTGCTTTGGTTTTTCGTCTCCGGGTCAAAATGGTGTACCCACGATTTATCTACGGTTACAAAATGAGTGCAAAAATCTTCTTCAATTATTGCTAAATTTAGCTTCTGTTAACAGTAGAGGAACCCAGCGCGCGGACACGTTTTTGAATTTTAAGTTATGAGTTAAAATAAACTGTATTGTCCCAAACGAAAGCTTTAGAATCTCAACTAAATAACGAATGGTCACAAGTCGATCTATCTTAACAATTTCTTCGATTTTTTAACGTTTTCTTGCGTAATGGCCGTTGGCCGCCCGGAGCGAGTGTCGTCATTGCAGGCGGTTCTGCCGCCTCTTTAATAAGTGTCCTACTACAAAAACTTATCGATCAACCTAGTATTCATCATTCAAAATCTGGTTTTCGTTAGCAAATCATATGTAATCTTTAATCATGTCGTGTGCATATTGTAATGATTTTTGTTAACAATCGATTGAGATAAACCACAAATCACTATTACTCTCCACCAAGAGGCACTTTAGAAATGAGGTGATCGCTACCAAGCTATTTCTAATTTGTTGTGTTGTTAATTTGTGTAACATACATGATTGTAAGATGTTATTTAAAAAGAAGAAAGTCCCGCTGGGTTTCTTGCTGGTTTTTCCCAGGACGGAGGTTTTTTTTTCGAACCAGTAGTAATGAAACAAAAGAGTGACTTTCAATAAGTATTATTTATAATCTATATTGAATAAAAAAAGTAAATCAAAACTTATTTTACTCATTTATCGTTTTATTTTATTAAATAGTTTCTTATCTTTTCTTATTATAAAATTTCTAACTCTGAAGCTCATTTATTTTCTTTTAAACATTTTAATAATATCCTGAACATTTCGAAGGTCGTCGATTGCGTTGAGGCTTTGCTAAGCGCGAACTCATCACGAGTTCGAAGTTAGCTCTATAAACACCGATATTGTCTTACCCTTCATACGTACTACGCGGGTAACTACATTGCGGCTAGCCGTCTGGATGACCGCAGGATGCGGTTGCGAATGCGGCTACCAGATTGCGGGCAGCCGCATTTGCAACCGGTTAAAGAACCGTTGCAATTTGCGGTCATATCGATTCATTTCAAAGATGGATGCGGAATAAGTTGAAGCTATTTACTACATTTGGTGTTCCAAATTGCTGGCTGACTCTGGTTTTCGATGATAAGTTTTCGGTATCCATCATAAACGTTCCACGTGTACACAATCTCACACTATGGCGGGCAGCCGCAAACTGAGCCGCATGAGCCGCATAGTGCGCATTGCAAATGTCTGGCTGTTCAGTAGCAGCCCTCCGTGCGACCGGAGTGGTTTGCGGGTAGCTGCAGCGCAGTGCGCATAGAAATTGATGTTACATTATATTTTTGGTTGCGGTGACTTGTAGTAAAGCTAACTACATTGCGGGTAACCGCATAGTGGCCTCAGCTTTTACGTAGATTCTGAGCAAAGTCAGTACGGTATACAAATATCAGTCTGAGACTAAAGTAAATTTGAATACTGGTTTGTATGTATCAAAATATTTATTGTTATGTTAATGGCGTCCACTTTTATTATTCATAAGATTTTTTAGACACAACCACACACACGCACTCATGCACGCACAAGCACACACACACTCGTACGCTCACACACACACACACACACACACACACACACACACACACACACACACAATAACAGTAGATAAGGTCTCTACAGACCACAAAATGTAGAAATATGTAGAAATTTGGACTTTAGATATCGTACCATAACAGCAATTTCTAAATGGAAAGTTAAAAATATAAAAATAAGCAAACCAAATACCTGTCCATTGAAGAAACACGAATAATACATTTTAGGTAACTTGCAGCGGGGCTTTCTCCGCGTCCGTACTTCGTTGCCCTACTTGATTCCTCAAGCGGTGTGCCGCTATCATCACGTTGCCCGCACGCTGTTGTAGTTATTAATACATTTATTGAAAACGAACATAATATAAAACATAGTTAACGTCAATTTTTATTATGTAGAAATTTAATTCCTCGTCTTAAAAACTCGTCATAATTTCACAGATTGACGTAACATCTTCAATTATGTTTATTTTTTTAATTAAAAACATATTCATCAAACATATGATTAATTAAGTTTTATTAAATTTATTGCAATTTACCTGCCAACGCGCTCTATAATTAGCAAGGTAAGATTTTAAGTTATGTCTAGCTTGCTTCATATGTCCAGCCTTCCTGCCTTTCGGCGGGCCGTTAAGTATCCACTGGTGATTTAGAGCCATTGAAGCGGTCATTCTTCCAGCGGGATTTAGAATTAAAAGGTGATCTATAAAGTCTTTCGCCAGATCCGATATCTCATCGAATGTTGTGTCGTGGTAGTTGTAATTGGCTCCGGTAATGTTTGCCGAACGTTCAGGCCAATTTTCGCCAGCGAACGGCATGATTCCCGACAATCTGTAATAACGCAACTTATAATATAGGAGTACATTAAATTCAATTATATAGCATAAGATAATATTAGACAAATTAGAATATTAATAATCTGAAATGCATCATAAGCTGAAATTCGGTAAAGTAACTCTGTAAGTAAATTTACCGAATTTTTTATACGTGGTAGAGCCATGCTGCAGGTATATTAATAGTATAGCTGTAGCAGGAATGGGTCGGCTCGAGCGGGGAAGGACCACGCTCTCACAGAATACCAGCGTAAAATAACAGCGTAACGCTGCTGTGTTTCATATGGTGAGTGTAGAGAACCGGACACCCTTTTTATTGGAAAAGAGGAATTCTATCTTAGTCCTCACGGGTGACAACGCATCTGCATTTTAATTCGCAAACGAAGATAGCTGTAGATGTCTATGGGCCACAGCAACCACTTACCATCAGGTGGACTGTGTGCTCATTTGTCACCCTTATTCTATAAAAAAAAAACAATAATTATTTTAAACATCCCATTCTTCTTCTGCTTGCGTCTTGAGATATACAGACTGTAAAGGTCAAATGAAAAATTGATTTGAAAAAGGTTCTTTTTTTTAATAAGCAATATGGGATGGGATGGGAAAGTCAATCAATAAAAACAAGTAAAAGAGCTCAAAAACATTTATTACTAAGAAAAAATACAATCAATCGTCGTCATGTATAGCATTAGGAACAATTGCACATGATTGGCCAAAACACATTGCCGAACACATCAGACTTACTGTTCGACACTCGCACCAACGTTCACACCCTTTTTTCTGCTGACTTCCAAAAAGGAGACTGTATTCAATTCGAGTGTATGTTTTTTTTTTAGGTGTGTTACCTCATAACCTTGTACTGGGGGAACCGATTTCGATGATTCTTTTTTATATGAAAGCTGATAGTTCTCGTGTAGTCCCATATGAATTTGATCAAGGTCAGACCAATGGTTATTGAGTTATTCTTAAATAACTTATATTGAAGTCGCTTATATTGAAGTCGGCTGTACAAAATTTTTAATTTTTAATTATACATCCGAGAGATTGAGCAAACCGCTAGGCGCAAGGGGAAGCTTTGTGGAACTGGAACCAGTGTTTGTTCACGCTTTGTCCAACCCCATTCACACGGTGAAAGATGGTTTTCCAATCAGCGCTAAACTTTTAAATAACGAGTAGATAATAAACGAGTGTTGCCGAGTTGCGTCTTTAGTAGGTGGCAAAGTTGAGAGTTTAAAGTTATCATCCTTTATGGATTGCTTGGCAACAACTGACTGTTAATATATATATACAACCTCAGCTCATCCTCAATTAAGTTTGAGGCCAGATTTTTTATACATGTGAAAAGAAAAAAAATGTTTCCCCATCTTTTGCGATGTCGCCATGTTCAGCTCGAGGCTCGTTGAATACCGAAACGGTTTTTCTGATGTCTGAATCACTTAAACATTCGTAAGTTTTTACTTTACGTTTTCTGAAGAAAGCAAATGTTGTTTCATAACCTGACATTGCATGTGCAAAAAGTAATACATCTTTCAAAGGGTCCATATTTAGACGGATTTCTGAAATATTATTTACTGTTGACTTCTAGGTTTCCAGGAGTTTTAGTTTTGGAGCATTTCCATCATTGTAACATGCTATTATTATTAATAAAATATAATATCCGTAACGACAACAGTAACGGTCAGCTTATATGAAGACAATCGCTGCTTCAGCGATCAGTCTATCTGCGTCTGCTCCAACTTGGTGTACGACCATTTGGTTGGCCCGTAGCTTCTGCGTCAATAAGTCTATAAGCTGTGCTTGCTTTGTTTTCTGAATTTTCAAATCAAATGTGGAATTTTCTGAAATTCAGAAAATTCCACATTTAAGTAAGCACACTATTTATCAGTAAATCGGCGTTTTTGTTCTTAAATTTTTGTGCTTGTCTTTCCTCTGTAACCGCCAAATACTGTTATGCAAGATTTCCCATAGTTTCTTTCAATATGTGATACATACGAATTACATCTTCATAAGTTGCGGAACATGGCTGCTAATTTACGGCATGTATGAGGTATCCGCCGTCATGGACATAATTTGACATAATCCGAAGGTGAGGTTGATGAACAGAGGAAGCAATATTCAAGGTTTCTTGCGAGTTCGACACTGTTTGTCTTCCGCAATGAAACATCATCAAATAAACATGGGGGGGGGGGATTTGGGCTTAAGTTCATATTTAAATTCTTTCTTTAGGCAGTCTTCGCTATTAATGACACGCAATATTCTATTGAATAATTGTTGTGATTTCACATGGGCGGGGGTGTATCTCAAAACGCGAGCGTTGGAGGGGGGGGGGGGGAGGGTTTAGCACGTCATTTTGGTTAGCATTCTGAGTATATATACAAATTTTCAGCTTTTATATTCTTACATTAATATATGATTCCAATGTACTGCTTTTCTATATTATTTAAGGTTTACGAGAATGCAGTGTTAAATATATAGGTAAAATCATAATATAACATATCAATATAAAGTTAAAAATAAAACGTAACAAATAATACTCACAACATATAAGTCACGACACCCACGCTCCACATATCAGAAGCTAATGTCAATTGTTCATAATTAAGTATTTCAGGAGCAACATAGTCTTTAGTTCCATAAATAACTCTTGTTACGTAATCATCTTCCAAGATCCTGGCGAGGCCAAAGTCGATGAGCTTGACATGTCGAGAATTGGGATTCACACAGACGATATTCTCGGGTTTAATATCGAGGTGTACTATTTTTAGCGCGTGTAGGTATTCCAAAGCTTCACAAGTCTGTCGCACGTAGGGAACCACGTCCACTTCTTTTATGTGGTCCTCTTCAACAATTCTATCAAAAAGTTCAGCACCCCACAAACTGAAAACAGTTAAACGGTTAAAATAATATAAGTTAAGTTTTTAATTAGTGGACTGGTTTTGTGGACTCTATCATTTTGTGAGAGGATTATTGAACAGGAAGTGTCCGCCACGTTCCTCCTCACATTCTTCCATTCGTGTAGTTTAGATTGGTAATGAAGTGATTAGGGCGAGACTAAAATTAAAATTCACCAGTGTGCGTGTAATGTACATGTGTGGGTGACAAATAGTGCATACAAGGTGTAATTCAGTAAATTCTTGGCACCCCGAAAATACATGTTATAAAAAATGTGAAATTTATTAGGATTTATTAGTTAAATATTTTTATAAAACTAAAGTATCCAACGACTTTAAAGTCCACCTGACGATGGTAAGTGCCCATGTCCCGTGTGCCAAGCCCATGAAAACTTGCAGCTAACTGCAAACTAAGAAGGTCCTTATCACCTCTACGGGCTGAGACCACATGAGTAAAGGAAACGTAACGTACAGAGGCAAAGCTTCATACAACCGCGCTATGATAATAGCACTACTACAACTCAACTCAACACCGTATAAAACTTATTACTGAAAATCGATCAGCTTCTCTATTTTCTTTTTCTTGTAAAAATTATCGTCACTATTTTAAAAAAAATTTTATCAAAATTAAATGTAACGCTCATGAGGCGTGTACTTTTGGGTTTTTCAAACTACATTTGTTATGCCATGCGAGTGCTTTCCAATAGATTATTTAGAAAAAAAACTTTACACTAGATTCATAATTTACCATTTAATTAAAAGGAAGAACAAATTGTTGAAGAACAAAAATTATAAAATAAAATATTTAGATTAAGTAGTTTACAAAAAAATAATATTGTTTCTTATGCATATAATAAAAGCTGATAAACGTTTTGTTCATTTAATTTTATCCTCTTGTGCCAACCCTGCTAAAATAGGTAAACATTTTGACAGCTCCTTAGAAGCTTTGCCTCTGTCCAGTTTCTTTACTCATGTGCTGAGACGGACTGCCTTACAGCCTGTATTTGTACCGGTATTAGGTAAGTGGGTAATACCTACCCAGACAGAAATGGGTTTCTACCAATTCATACATAACACAAACATTGTTCATACATAAACTTCAAAACTTGTGTATATAAATTAAAAGTTAGTAACTAAAACCAAACTGCGATAGGAAATGTATAATAAAATAAACAAAAACTATTGGTAAATCCAATTGTGCATGCCTTAAGCGTATTAAAAAATTTGCGTATAACATGATTATACGTCAATTTTTTAAAGTAGTTTAAATACACACAAGATTTCACTAATAACCTTATTACTATACTTCCAATTTTCCTATAATTTTATGTCAAATTTTAATTAAAAATGCTTGTAAAATCCAAAATTGCACGACTCATAAGATTGTGGAAAAGTTAAAAAAATTGTAAGTTGTAATTCTATTCGTCAAAGAGTTCTAGTAGCAGTCACTGAAGTACACTTTCAAGTCACTCCATCAAGCCCGGAGGTAAGGTCTCATAATACCTAACAAAACGAGGTCAAACTCGGCAGCTTAGTTCTAACTCTTGGAGAAGTTCCAGTAGCAATAACTGAAGTACACCTCTAGGTCATTCCATCAAATTTGTAGGTAAAGTTAAAACTACTCATTTATCAAATAAACTAAATAATTTAAAATATAGTTTAATAATCGCAAAATAATTAGGTAACGAGTACCCTTAACAAATGGGCATAAATAAAAAATGTGACGAGAGAGTAAGAGCGAGTTAGGAGTAATCAAATACGATCATATTTTTTTCTTTTAAAAACTTCCGCGCGTGCCTATTTTTAACCTTGCGCCTCTAGGCATATGCCTAGTTTGCCTTAAGTATAATCCGCCACTGTCCGGAGGTAAGGTCTCATCATAGCTAACAAAACGAGCCCAAACTCAGCACACCTATTATTATTACTACTTTTCAAGGAGTTCCAGTAGCATTCACTGAAGTACACCTTCAGGTCACTCCGTCAAGTCCGCAAGTCGTCATAATTAACAAAACGGGTATAATCTCGGCACACCTAGTTCTACTCGTCGAGGAGTTCCAGTACCAGATAACTAAGTACATTCAGGTCACTCCATAAAGTCCAAGACCTATAAGTATATTTATATATAAATCCTACGTACTTTTGGCGAAACAAAATATTGTAATAAAAATCTGTGATAATAAAAATAACAACCTTGGTCAAGTATGTATTAAATTTGGTTTTTGGAATATTTTGTATTTCTACAGCGATCGATATTTTTGCTGCTTATTACCGCTGCTGTAAGCAAAACGATAAAGTAATCCATTCACGGTGGCGGCCTATCACGAAGTGCAAGTGGCAAGGAAACAAAGTGTATTTAGTAAAATAAATTATTACAAGGCTGCTCAAAACACCGAAAATTTCGGGATTTCTCAGGCGAAAAAAATAAATTAACTAAACAAAACAAAATTAAACTGCCATTTACATTCTATGGCTTCCCATATGATAGATGAAGAGATAAAAAATAGATTGAGTTAAACAATAGATATTTTCAAAAGTTATCGTGTTTACCCCTCCATGTGAACCTGATAAACCTACACCATAAGCCACTAAAACCACTTTTTTATGTAAAATTAGTAATTAATTGATTAAAAAAAAATAAGTTCAACAATCATTTATTTTCTGACAATCTGCTTTTTATATCATTTATATGTTCTATATGATTGTTAGATACGATTTCATGCGACAAAACGTTGAAATTTTGATTTTCAAGCGCTAGTAGAACATACCTACTCGCTTTGCGCTTAAGGCATGCAATAATCGATGCTGCGTTAGTCTACGTTTATTTCATAACTACAGAACGGGTTTTGCGAACCCTAGAGGTTTTACCATTGGATATGTATGGTTCATTCGAAAGGTTCAAATGTCCAATTAGTGGAAAAACTGGAATAGATATAACTAGACTGGAATAGACAAAATATAAGCATAGTGTAGGGCCTTCCCAACACTTGGCTGTACGCTTCGCTTAGGAAGACGATGGATGTAGGTAGCTCAGAAATGTGTTTTGTGGCATTTCTTAGGGGAGGCCTATGTTCAGCAGTGGATTTTAATAGGCTGTAATAGTAACATAGAGGTGCATTAAGGGAAAAACTACATTGGCTGTAATGATGATGATAATGATTATGACAAACTTCTTTTATTTCTTCTTCTTCATCAGTTCGTAAAGTCTATTGCTGGATATGAGTGTTTTCTGGCAGGGAGGATTTGTCATAAATAGTTGGTGAAAAAAAAAACCAAAAACTACATGGAAACTTGCATGGACTTATTTAAATGTCCGTTATCTACTTACTAATTCATTACGAGGACAAAAGTATTTTTCGCAGAGAAAGCGTCAATTAATTCCACTACTTTTGGATGTCTCAAGCGCTTCATAATGTCGAATTCCCTTAGTGCATTATTACTTTTCTTCGGTGATCCTGTTTTGATAATTTTCGCCGCGAAATATTTTCCCTTCTTGTCCTTAACTAGGACAACGCTGCCATATGCGCCAGAACCAATTATATCATCAGTTTTTTTGTAAAAATCATCAAATTTTTCCATTTCTTTTAATTTGCACATGCCTGAAGTCGTAGGTTCGTCCTCAAATGGTGCTGAAATAAAGTGAATAGATGTAATGATATCGTTTATATCCTTAGATTAATAATAGGTTATCGCGCCGCGCGAAGACCTATCAATAATCTAAGGATATAAACGATTTAAAACCCAATACGAGTGTAAATTCAAAAGTTTCCAAAAGTTTAAAATTTTTTGTATTGACGAACACGAAGAAGCATACCAATTTGTCTCTAGTAGTATCTATCCTACGGCCTACCTAACTAAACGAGTGAATGCAAAGTGATACTACGTTTAGCAAAACTTAAAATTGTGTGTAACTTATAAATAAAACAATTTATTTGTAAACTAACATATTTAGTGCTATTCTAAGTATTCTTCAATACATTTAAAACACTTTTTCATTCGTTCATATTATTTTTGTAAACATAAGGACTGAGGACATGTTTTGTGGTAAGCTGACATGGTTCATTCTGGCTCCGTATATGTCAAACGTCTTATGAAATCTTTGATTTTTGGTAAAATAAAGAAATCGCATGGTGCTAAATATGGTGTGCGGGATGGATCACGATCCCCCCACCTTCCACAAGCCAAAATGACTTTTTATTGTTCGGTGTGCAACAAAGCGTTGTCATGGTGCAATAGAATGGAACTTCTTCGTCAATTTTCTCTAACTTTTCCAAAGAGTCTGGGCAAACGAAAAAATAGTAATGTACCACTCATCAGTAACTGTCTTTTGCTTACCAAATGGGATCCTGCAGACAGAGATTTGGGAGAGCAAAAAGCAAAAACGTTCATTTTTTTTTGCCTATGCTTCTTGCCTGACTCAATTTTGTGGGTTTGCTGTCGCCTTCAAAGACGCATATACATAGCATTTGAAGGACCATGATCATACTTTAACAACATTATTTACACCAATCAACTCGAGCTCTGTTCCTGTTTCTGTTTTTCGTTTTTGTTCTGGGAAGATTCATGAGGATTTCAGCGGCAACAAAGTTTCCTTAACTTTTAAATGTTGATGTGATTTTTGTGAATTTGGCTCATACCAGTACCCAAAGGTCCTCAAATTTCATCATAGGTTTTCCAGGTTTTCTCCAGTTAGTCGCCTGACAGTAACCACATTTCCCTTCGTGATCGCAGTTGACGGTTGACCTTCACGAATTTCATCAAGGGGAGTAACATGGTCACGATCAAATTTTGCGTATCAACTTTTAAAAGAAAAGGATTTTGGTCTTATCGGACTATAAGAGTGAGGAAATAGAGAATGTATTTGTATACTTGCGCACTCCTGCAAAGGGTCCAAATACTATGTTTCTAAAAATTGTATTATTAGTAGGCTGAACTTACTATATTATAATGAATGAATAATGTGGCGTGAGGCTAGTAACGAAGGCACAAAGCGGCTAATAATAGGTTTGCTAGTTACAATTAACTTCAATAAAATCTTAAATATTGACAACGCATTGATCTATACATTTCCTTCTAATTATAAAAATACCAATTTGAAACATCATTAGCATTACAGTACTTCACAAATT